GCCTGCAGCTCGCTCGGTCTGATCCAGCAGCAGTTTTGTTCTTAAGTGCTCGTTGTCCACATTTGTCTTTTGGTGAGCTTTGCGGGCTGGCTTTTAGAAAGAAGGGGTTAGTACAAATCGCTAGACTTGCTTTTCTTTAAAGCTTTCCCCTGCCTTCCAGTTCTTCAGAAGTTAAATCTCTCAGGGCCAGCACTTGACATGATGCCAGTCAGGCAATTAGGACTTGCTTTCAAAAGTGGAATGGAGACCTGATGTGGATCAGATTACCGGTGGAGCACAGGGAGCATTAACCCTCTGTGCGCACTGTGGTCTCGATCGGGATCAGAGCTGCCGTTGACATCTGTGTCAGGAGCAGCTCAGAGTCGGGAGAGCAGAGCAGGAGGCTGTGAACTGGCTAGTAGCTTTGATGGCTAGTGTGCCAACGATTGGGCGGCATACCTCTGCCTGCCGCTTGCTGGTTTATTTCGTGGTGCATCTAACAGGAATACTGATTTACCCCTCGTTATAACAAGCTCTTGTTCAAAACGTTCAAGGAGCAGTAAAACGGAGCTGCATAGAAACATAGAAACAGAGCGAGTCAGAAGGGGCTTCCCGGGCCATCCAGTCTGACCCCCGGCTCCAGCCGGCTCCGCTCACGACATGCCCACCATGTGGACGTCCAGCCTGTCCTTGAACACCACACCGATGGGGCCTCCACGACCTCCCGAGGTCCCTTTCACAAGTGCTGCTCTCCAGCCACTTGTCCCCTAACCTGCACTTATGGCAGCTCTTCCTATGCCCCAGGTGCAAGGCCCTGCACGTATCACTTCTACCACACATGGAATGGTTTGCCATGAATCGCAGGACAGGCAAAGCCGGGAGGAACAAGTGTGTTCAGGAAACGTACCACTTTCCTGCCTCTGGAACAGCACCCAGGAGGTTTTCCCGAGTGAGGGTGCCAGCACCGAGAAGGCCACGTTAAGATATTGCACGGTGATGTTCCATTGGTTGCAGAAGGACCAGCAAGGCCTCCTCTACTGGCCTGAAAGACCAGTCCTGGGGAAGACTGGCTCGCTAGATCTCCTGGCCCCGAGCTGTGCAGAACTTGGTATGTCAATGACAAGAACCCTGAACGGGGCTCGGTCCCATGTGGGCCAGCGTGGCATGACTGCCGCGAAGCCCTGCTGGGCCCGACCTCGCTCGGCAGGGCCCCCGGGCTGCCCCTGCAGGACCCACGAGCAGGACAGGGTGTCCTCCTGCCCGTGTCCCCCCCCCACCGCTGTGCACAGGCCTCCCTGGCCTGCCCCTGGAGCTGGCTCGGGGCCATCGGGGCTGGTAGCCACGGGTCGTTCCCTCCTCCAGGAATTCACCCACTCCCCCTTTCCAGCCATCCAAAAGGGTGGCCTCCGGATGTCCAGGGAAGCGGACGCCGGAGCTGAGCAGCCGTGCCCTTTGCAAAGTGGTCTTTTAGCCAGGAGGGCGAGGAGGGCCCCTCTCTCTTGAGGCCTTAAGGGCCCCTGTTGGTCCGAGGTGGCCATCCCGGGCTCAGTGCTCTGAGGGACTGAGCATCTCCCTGTCGCCAGATTTGCTTTTCAGACCCATCCCTTGGATCTGCTTGAGCTGCATCCATCCATCCATCCATCCATCCATCCATCCATCCGATTACAATCCCAACTTTTTCCTCTTTTAAAGAACTCCAAGCAGCTTCCCTCCTTCTCTTCCTCCTGCTCACCATCTTATCCCTACACAACACCCCTGTGGGGTCGGCTGGGATGAGCATCTGTGCCTGGCCCAAAGTCACCCCGTGGGCTCCATGGCTGAGCGGGGACTTGAACCCGGATCCCCTGAGACCCCGTCCCACGCTCTTAACTGCCACACCACGCTGGCATCCTAATCCCAGCACTGCTCAACTGTTCTGGGCTTACTGCAAGCTGGAACGAAGGCCGGAAGCTCCGTTTCGCCAGTCAGACCGCCACCGCGTCAGCTGACTGCAGCGGCCCCACGGCTTGGCCTGCAAATCTCGGACGTTGATTGATGCGGCACACACCGAAGTGCCGGGTCAGAACAGGAAAACCTCCCGCTGTGCGCATTACACAAGATTACACAGTTGGAGTGTCACCTACTGAACTTCTCCTCCCGTGATAATGAGTGCGGACGCTGCCCAGCCCCGGGGTGAACGTCCAGTCCCCGCTGCAAGAGGGGCCTCGGGCGAGGGCGGCTCTCTCGTCGGACCCCAGGCGCACGGGGCGGCTTCGGAGGAGGGCAGAGGGCACGGGTGGGCCACCTGCTGGAACGCCTGGCACGTCCTGCAAGAGGGATGCTCGGGCAGTGCCTTATGGCCCCCGCGCAGCTCCTGAGGAGACCGAGCCATCTCCACGGAGCACCAGCGATATCTGGATGGAGCTTCCTCTGTTGCCCCAAAGGCAACGGGCTGGTTGCTGCCTCTTGGGGGAAAGGTGGGCTTAGGGCAAATAGTAGCCACCACACTGGCCCCAGCGTGAGGCCGGGGTCCTCAGCACAGCGCCCCAGGTGCCATGGTGCCTGCGGGCACGCCAGTGGTGCTCACGAGGGCTTCCCAGCAGGGAGCCATAGGGCTCCTGGAAACAGAATACGCACAGCTTTGGTCTGTGATTTCTTCTGTTTTTTTAAAAAATGTATTCATGGAGTTGTATGGAATAATAGTTTTCTAGCACTTGCTCCCTAGGCTTCAGCAAGAGAGTCTTCCAGGCTCGTGATATCCATCTTTTAGGGTGCAAACCTTGCTCTTGATGCATGTGAGCTTCCTAATTCAGAGGCTTATGCAATCAAGAATTTCATCTAGACAGCTACTTTTGGCTGCCTTGGGAAAGCACCACGGAGTGGGAGGAATGGGGCTGGGACACTGAAAGACCTCAGTGGGAGTCCCCAGCTCCGATCTCTCCCCCACCTCCGTGCATCCTTGGAGGAACACCTGGCACTGTTGGAGGCTGTCGGACGCCCCCATTAGCTGTCAAAAAGGGACCGACAATTCATTTCCTCTTCCATTTCCATGAAGCAGGTAAATCATTTCTCAGAGGGGGGACTTCACTGCTTATTAAAGACTGTTCCAGTACAAACTTTATCTGTATAATAGTCTCCTCCTGGGAAAATAGGTGGCTGCTGGACAGACATTGCCCAAACGTACTTTGGAGAAGCTTCGGCTGCATTGAATGGCCAGCCTGTAGCCGAATTAGGCGATCCCTTAACGAGACATCGCGGGATCTAATCGGCACCTGAGATCCAGAGGCGTGACAGGGAGTGCTTCACCTTTTAGGTGTTCTGTGGTAGTTCTCACAGTCCCACAAATGTCCGTGGGTCCAGAAACGGAAGGGAGGGACCCTCGGACGGATGCAGCAACACCCGTGAGCGATCTGAACTGTTTCCTCTGCCTTGGTGAGAGCAGGCAGCTCATGGAAATGCCGGGGGACAACCAGCCTGCCAGGTCAAGAAAAGCTGAACAACTGCCCCCCCCCCGCCCCAAGACAGGGCGACTCCGACCAGCCCAATGCCCTTCTCTGCCAGCGAAGCCCCCTCAAATGTTGTTCTGCCAACGCAGCTCTCCACGGCTTTGCTGGATTCCGCTCTGTCAGTTTGGATCTCCGTCGTTTTGCCGGAGAAATCAGTCGGCGGCGTGGCTCTCTGGGGGCAGACCTGGCAGAATGGCCCGGGGGGGGGGGGGGGGGTTCTCCCGATGTTGTTGCAAAGCCCGGGAGGTCTGGCGCGGGGGGGGCGCGGGGGGGGGGCGCGGGGGGGAGGGGCCCGGGGGGGGGGGGGGGCTGCTTCCCAGAATGTAGTGCAAAACCCTGCAGGCGCTCAAGGGGTGGGAAGGGGGTGCCGTCGCAGAGGGCTGGGCACGGAGGGGGCGGATGGAAGCAAAGATGTTCCATAGAGGAGGACGTTTTATGAGAAAACCCTGCAGTGGTTCCATGTTGTTTACCAAAAATATCCCAATGCAACCCCCCCCCCCCCCGGCCTGCTGCCCTGTCCTGGGTACACGAAATCACAAGGCAAGTGTGGCGTGCGAGCCCCCACCGCACACAGCCAAGAGGAGGGCCCCCTTGGAGTGGGGGCGATATATAAAATGCCGGGGGCACAGGGTATTTGCATAGCCCCCACCCCTTGAGGAACACAAGGACCCACCTGGAAGGTTGTCTGTGGGTTTTATTTATTTATTTATTTATTTATTAAAACATTTTTATGCCGCCCCATTCGCCGAAGCCTCGGGGCGGCTTACAACATAAGCTTGCCATAAGGTTGCCATTGAAACCTGGGTTCTTGTGTTGTCTGAACCCAGCCAAGGTAACAAGCTACGCTGCCTGAATCGCAGTTCTTCCTGGGTTGTTTGTGGTTAACAGGCCCATGGCTAGAGAGCACAGCTCAGTTCAGGAAACACGAGAAGCCATGGTTCGACCGGGACAACCCACGGGCTCCACAACGATCCGTGCTCAGTCAGGACACGGCCATCTGAACCCAGTTTGTATGCGGTTCTTCATTGCATGCTTTATCAGGGGTTGTTCTTCCCCCTTTTAAGACCCCCCCCCCACAAACAAACAAATATAGAGAGGACCAGCCATTAATGGGCAGATGGCTGAAAGCCTCAACAGCAGGGCTGGGGAACCTCAAGACGCTTTGGGGGATGATGGGAGTTGTAGTCCCAACATTCTGGAGCACCCCTGCATCTACAGCAGGAATGCAGGTGCTCGAGGGGGGGGAAGGGGGTGCCGTCGCAGAAGGCTGTGCATGTCAGGTCCCAGCAGCCCCTGCTAAGCATGGCCAGTGATTGGGGATGCTGGGAGTTGAGGCTTAGAATGTCTGGGCGTCCTGCATGCTCCCTGATGGTTGGGGGAGAGTTTGATCTCCACCCCCAGAAGGGCTTCAGTGCCCATCAGAGCTGCACTAGAAGCAGGTATTCTGCAGGTGAAACTTTTCCCAGCATGGACTGGGGTGGGGGGGCGGTTGCTAGGGGTTCACCTGCTGGATTTCTGCTCATCACAGAGCCGTTCATGACACAGCGGGAGCCGTGGATGCTGGGCGATGGGGAACTGCTCGCACAGCCCGCTGAGCAGTGGCTTGGCGACTCCCGCGTGCTTCCCCTTGGAGCACCTGAAGGTCCAGTGCACCTGCGCAGGTGTGCCGGCAGCACCTGGCTCGTTCTCCTCCTCTCTGCCCTGAGCCAACATGATGCGCATCTCCAGGCGAGCGCTCCGCCTGGCAGTGGGCATCTGGTGACGTGCCGGATGCTTCGGCTTGGCTGAGAAACCGTGTGCCGGAGCGTCGGGACGGGGGCTCGGGAGACCTGTGTTCCGGTCCCTGCTCAGCCACGAAGCCCGCTTGGCTGACTTTGGGCAGACAGTGACTCCTGGATGAACCTACCTCACAGGATCGTTGTCAGGAGAAAATAGGAGGAGGCAGTGTGGCCAAGTGGCTAGAACACTGGCCTGAGTTCTGGTCCCCAGTTGGCCATGAAGTGCCCTTGGGTGACTCTGAGCCAGGCACTAGCTGAACCGGCCTCGCTGGGTTGTTGTGAAAAGAAAATGGGGAGGAGATGGCTCAGGTAAGCTGCTTGGGCTCCTTCCAGGTGGAAGAAAAGGCAGGTCATTTGCAATAAGTACCTGAGAGGTAGGTAGGTAGGTGGATGGATAGATAGATATTCTCAGTGGGGTAATCTTATAAAATGATACTACTGAAAACAAGTTACCAGTGCAATGCAATGCAAATTTAGACTAGGAATAAAGGACTATGGCTCCCAGCATGCATGGATTGCTCTTTAAGGCCATACACAAAAGAGGGTGGGGGGGTGCATTTTATATTCAAGGGTTTTTAAAATAGAAGCTCCTCTGACAAAGATGCTATTTTCTCAGAAATAGGTCCCATTCGAGAGATTCCCCTCTGGCATCTTTGGTAGCTTTCTGCATGCCGGAACTTTGGCTGTGCCCCTTCTGGGTTTTGTCCATAAAACATCGGTGTGGGGGCAAAAGATCCCCCCCCCTTTGAATATGCCCCGCTGTCAGGAAGCCCGGAGCACCCAAGCCTACAGATGCCGTGCCCAGCGCGGGTGGATGCAAGCCGTGGCATCGAGTCGCCCCGCAGGGGAGACCCCCCTCAAACGGGGGAACGGGCCACCCCTTGCCCTTTAAGAGCTCCAGATGGCCGCACCCTCTTCCCAAAAGCCCCGGCCGGCCCAGCCTTTGGGGGATAAAAGGCGCCGCCCTGGGCCACCTGGGCTTCTTCTTCGGATGCTAGCCGGGGGCCTGCCCTGGGTTGCCAGCAGGCGGCCAGCCGAGCCGGGGTCTCCCTTCGAGCTGGTGGGGCGGCCAGCATGGGCGCGGTGCTGAGCCGTCTCCAGCAGCTGGTGGAAGCAGGTGAGGGGCGCCCCGGGACCTCTCCCTTGGGCCACCTCTGGGGGACAGGGTGGGAGCCCGGTGCCTCTGCGGCCCCCTGGCCGGGCTGTGGCGAGGGATTGCCCCCAGCCGGTCTGCATTGGTCTGGAAGGGGCGGTGGGGGGAGCCCCGGGGGCATTTATTTTAGGGTTCCAATCTCAGCACACCCCTCCCTTTTTGCCTGCATGGACCCTGGCACTCCCCCAAGCCTTCCCCTCGTCTCCGTGTTTCCCTCACAACAACCCTGTAAGGTAGGTTGGGCTGAGCTTCACGGCTGGGTGGGGACGCGTGGCTCTCGAGGCCCAGGCCAGTGCTCTAACCACTAGGCCACACTGGTCTGGGGCACAGCTGAACTTGATGAAATGCTTCATCAGAGGTGCCCACGGACCCTATTCTTGGTGCTCACCAGACCTCCTGCCCCCGCTGGTATCTTTGCGATGCTTCCTCCCCACTGGGAAGCTGGCAAGCTGAGAAGGCAGCCATTTTGTGGGAGCGCTCGGGATGTTCTGTGGATCCGGAAAGGCTGGGGACCCTGTCCAGTCACAGAGCATTGCTTTTTTATTTGTTTATTTATTTATTTATTAAAACATTTTTATGCCGCCCCATTCGCCGACGCCTCGGGGCGGCTTACAACAATAAGCTTCCTGTATGTAGGACTGCAAATGGATGAACCTGAGCTTAATTTCCAAATTTCCTCCCTGCCTTTTATGGCCCAGGGTCTGTTCAGGATTAACGCTGCGAACCACATGAGTCTACGTGGGAGTGCCCCCCAGAGAACGCCCCAGCTTGGTCATGTATCTCTCCCATTCCTTTTCTGTTGCGAGGAACCCAAAGCGGTGTGTAGAGCCCTCCCCTCTGTTTTGCCCTCACAGCAGCCCTGCGAGGTAGGCCAGGCTAGTCCAGGAGTCCGTGATGGCCCAAAGTCCCCCTGAGCTGATGGCCAAGTGAGGACTGGGACCTAAATCTCCCCAGCTCTGGTCCAGCGCTCTAACCCCTAGGCCACACTGTCCCTGCCTCTGCGCAAACGTGCATGGGGCTGCACTGCAGAATGGGTCTCTTGAGTGGGAAAGAATACACCTGGGTAGGTACATGCAGGGTCAGCCGGGGTGGAAAAATGGTCAGCGTTTGCATGCGCAAGAAAGAAGAATTTGGGTGGGCAACTCGAACACAGCAAAGGACTCATTCTTGGCTAATGCGCTGGCAGATTCTCCTTGGTCCTGGGGCAGCCGGGCCCCTCCGTACACTGGTGGTCTCTAGTCAGATAGGACTGCCACTTCCATCATCCCCAGCCAATCTGTCCAGAGGGCACCTGCTTGGGAAACAGCTGCACTGGCTGGGGATGCTGGGTGATGCAGTGCAGCCCATGCAGGGCCACAGATGCCCCCGCCCCGATTTCGGAGTGTAGGCCAACGGGACCCCGGCCTCCGTTCCGCTTTCAGTGGGCTTGTGTGCCGGCCATGTGCTTGCGCTCCCCTCTGGGGCTTCTTATCAGCTCATCTCTCCCTAATGCTCCTGTGACCTCATTAGCTCTGAAAAGAGCTGAATCAGACTTTCCGGGAAGGCAGGTGACCCTCTTAGCACCCTGGAGGGCAGGACAATCCCTTGCATGGGGAGAGCCAGCCTGTAAGGAAGAAAGATTGTCCTTGCAGGGGGAAAGCTAGCCTGTAAGGAAGAAAGATTGTCCTTGCAGGGGGAAAGCTAGCCTGTAAGGAAGAAAGATTGTCCTTGCAGGGGGAAAGCTAGCCCTTGAGGGAGCAGGACTGTCCTCCTTGCATGCTGAAAGCTAGCCCGTGAGGAAGGAGGATTGTACTTTAGTAACCTTTTCCCTGCTGTGTTAAATTTCTCCAAGCCCGGCATACCTCCAGGTTTACTGCCTCTGCTTTTCTCACAAATATTTTGGTGGCGCAGGCCTGCCCGGACCTTGTCCCAGTGGTGGCTCGGGCCACAGGGACAGGGCCGAGCATAGCAGCGCAGTTCCGGCCACCGGCAGCGGACCCCTGGGAGGGGTGTTGGGGTGGGGGGGAGCATGGCCCAAGGCTGGGGTGCCCCGGGAGCAGCAGCGGCTGGGGGAAAGGGGCGTGTTCATATGGGGAGCCCCAGAGGAACAGCTCTGGGTCTGAATGTTCTCCCTGGGCCTGCCTGGGGGGGCATTTTAGGCCTGCTCAGGAGAGCTGTGCGCGGAGCTGCCCCATAACCCGCCTGGGAACCCTGCCTCGTGCCGGACGCAGCGGTTTGGGTCTGGCTCCAGTCCCGCAGGGCCCCGGGAAGGGAGCGGCTTTGGGAGGGCGCTCCGATGGGCGCTCCGTGCCGGGAGCTGTGGGGCATCTTTCTGCCGGAACCTGCAGGGATTGCGCCCCGTGGGCAGGGTCCTGGGGCAAGTTCCCCGATCTGGGGGACGGTGCGCATCTGTGCAGGGCAGGAGGATCGGCGGAGGGGCCCTCGGCTCCCCACCTGCCCGGTTTCCGCCCACCTTGCGCAGCATTTGGGGGAAGGAGGCGAAGGACAACCTGCCCCCGGGCCGTGCCCCGCTCTCGCCCACCTGTCCAAGGGCACATGCTGGCCGAGGGGGCTGGAGAGAGGCCCGCGGGCCGGTTCCCGGCTGCAAGGGTGCCTCCAGCCTCACGCCTGGAAGTCCAAATGCCCCTCGGATGCTTCCCTGGGGGCGCAGGATAGGTCAGACTAGATGGCCCGGGAGACCCCTTCTGACGCGCTCCGCTTCTGGGTCATGCAGCTGGTGGCCCTGGAAAGGGGCTTGTTTTAAGGTCGGAGGGTTTTGCAGCCTTCCCTAACCCAGTGCCCTCCAGATGTGTTGGCTACAACTCCCATTATCCATAGCTGGCATGGATGATGGGTGTTTTGGCACAGCAGATCTGGAGGCTGGCAGGTTGTGGGAAGGTAGCATGTAGCTTGTGACTGCTGGTCCGGGGGAACGGCTTGGCTCTCAAACTGGGGCAGAAAGAAAGAAAAGGGTTTTCGTAGGAGTCGGCCTTAACTTGCAGCGCCCCCTGCAGTGTTGGCTTTAAGTGGGGGGGGGGGCAGTCCCTGAGGGCTCAGTCAGGCCCCTGGTTCCAGGCCTGGGGCCTGGGAAGCCCCTCTGTCCTGGCCACGGGGCCTCGGTTTCCCTCCAGTGTTTTCTGGGACCCCTGTGCTTGGCCTGTGGCTGCTTTGCTGCGGCCATTTGGACTTCAGCTCCCATCAGGTCGGCTGGGGTTCCCTCACATCACCGCGGGCAGGAGCTCGGGTTGCGTCTCCCCCAGATCCTCTCGCTGCAGGGGGCCAGGGGGACTCCCCTGACGGCCCCCGTGTCGGCACTGCCCTTGCCACTGGGCAAGCTGGCCTTCCCCAGCCCGAGGAAGACTGTGCTACCCCCGCCCCCATGGGCCGGCTGAGTCTATTCCTGGTGCGAGAGAGAGCCGAGCGAGGCTGATGGCCACCTGAGCCCAGGGGGGGGCGGGGGGGCACAGCGGCTCCCGTTTCTCGGAAGCGGCAGGCAGCCCCTGGAGGCCAAGGGGGATCGATCGCGGCTCTGCGAGCAGAGAGGCTGTGGGGCCATTAGCCAGCCCTCCACCCCAGAGCTTCCCGCCCGGCTCAGCGAGGCACCGTCTCACCTTGGCAGCTGTCCCCATCCCTGGCCGCAAGACGGCGAGTAAAGAGCATTTTCTGCAGCTGGAGCAGCTAAAGTGCTTTTCCTGCGCTATTTCCGCACTTGGCTGGGCCGCCCCGGAAAGCGGATGGATGCCCTTGCGGGGGGCGGGGGGAGCACCCAGGCAGGTGCTGGGGAAGAAGGCTTGATCCTTGCTTTGCTCAAGGGGTCACACCTTTCAGCTCGAGGGCCGTGCTCAGTTACAGAGAAACTCTTGCCGGGGGCGCTGGGGGGGTGGGGGCAGATGCTGGACTGAGCCGAAGGCAAAAGCGGCCAGGCCAAACCCCCCCAACGCCTGTGCGGTTTTGCACAAAGCTCTTGCTGCCCATGGCTAAGTCTTAGGAGAGGTGCCCCTTTTGGAATGGGGAAATACTCAGCAAAAGCCGGGAAAGCCCCCATATTGCGGGGAGGGAGCCCTGGGCACCCCAGCTTGGTTGGCATGGGCCCTTTGGCCTCCACTTCGGCCGCAGAGCCCAAGGCGGGCTCAGAACTGACAGACAATGGGGGTCAAAGCAGGCAGCCTTCTTCCCCCCCCCCCCCCACCCCAAGATTTCCCTCTTGAGCTTGCCAACTGCTTTCCACGCTTTGGAATGGAAGCTCACGGAATGTGTGGCCAGTGGCTGGAAAGGCAGGGATTTGGGGCGCCCCCCTTCTCTGCAAGTGATGGGGTGCCTCTGGTGGTTTCTCGCGCTGTTTTTCTCCTGTTCTGTGCCTGCAAGACAATCGAGGGCTGTTCAGCCTTGGACTTGAGCTGGGATGACAGGCGGGGCCTGGAGGAACATCTGCCTGCAAAGGGCTCCCACGGGTGGAATTCCTATTTGGGGCGGGGGGGGGGGCTCTTTCCCGATCACAGCACAGCCTCGTGGCTGCTGCGCCAGCAATCTGGCAGTGGGGGCCGTGGCTTGCATGAGATCTGGCTTAGCCAGCTCTGGGCGAGGATCATGGGCTTTGTGCGGGGAAGGGCGCCGCTGGGCCTCCTCTAAGCAGGGCTGCCGTGGGTCAGATTTTCATTCCTAAAGTCGCCGTAAGTTGGCACACCATGACAAAGCCGTGGCACTCCACAAAGACAACCCATGCTTTATTGCTGGGTTGTGAACTATGGGCTGTTAGCAAACCATGGCTTGCTGCCAAGCCCGGGTTGGCCCTGCACGGCAACCCGTAGCTCTGCCATGTCCTGCAGTATTGGCCAGGTCAGGGGACTGGCAGCTGTCCCATCTGGGGAGAGCTCCCACCGCAGGAGGGGAGAAGAGACTTCCCCGCAACCCAAATGGAGCAGGACCCGTTCCAGAACCGTGCCCTGGACTTTCAAGGGAAGGCAGCCCTGCAAGCTGGCTCCGAGGTCTGTAGGGGAAACGCCATTGCGTGTGCCTAATGCTAGATACCCCTCCAGGCTCAGACGCGCCGCCCAGGTTGGAATCTCGCCTTGTGCTTGCTGGGAGCGGCCCCTTCCCTCGCCCCAACTCTCTCTTTCTTTCTCCCCCCTCCAGATGGCTCTCAGGGGCACTCCGCCTCCTCAACCCCAAACAGCGATGCCCTGGCGCCGTTGCAGGTTTCCCCTGCGGTGACGCCCGGCAGCCCGGCTGACCTCCCTATGGATCCCAGCCTCGGCGGCAAAGCCCTGCCGGCCTTCCTGCCCGCGAAGAAAGAGGACCGGCCCCAGCCGGAGGGGGCCAGCTGCGACACGGCCGTGGGGAGCACCGCGGCGGGCCTGGCGGCGCTGAGCGAGTGCGGCCAGGTCCTGGTGGAGCAGGCGGTGAAAGCTCCCCAGGCGGCCCCCAAAGGCCTCGGCCACCCGCCCAGCGTGGACATCCTGGACGCCCGCATAGTCATGGGAGAGGAGACACAGTGCTTTGCGGGGCCGGAGGATGCGGACGGGGCTGTGCCACAGGCTCCCCCCCGACCTGGCCGGACCCGGCCCTTTGGAAGCCAGCGCGGGCGGGGAGGAGCTGAGTGACCCCGAGGATCAGCCCCCGGCGGCTGCGGAGGGGCCTCCGCCTCGGACCTCGCAGGACTCGAGCCCCCCGCAGGCGCGCCTGTCTCTGCCGGGCCTCTCGGCGCACGGCGAGCCGGAAGCAGCGCTGCCGCCGCCTCTCTCTCAGGGCGAACCGCCGGCGGCGGATGTGCCTTCCCCACCTGCGACCCTCACCCTCACCAAAGACCCTCCCCTGGACCTGCCCGAGACGCCACCCCTGCTGGCCAAGCCGGCCGGCCCCCTGGACCCGGAGCTGTACTTCACGGCGCCCTCCACCCCCGTCCGGACGGCGCTCCCCCACCTCAGGCAGGCCCCCTTCTTCAAGGAGAGCCCCAGCGAGGAGCAGAACGACACGGACAACGAGGGCCTCTGCTCCCCCCCCACCTCGCCCTCGGGGTCCTACATCACGGCAGAGGGCGGCAGCTGGGCCTCCTCGGGCACCGCGAGCACCTCCCCGTCCTGCTCCCCCAACCTGATGGCCGAGGCCGAGGCCCTGGAGACCCCGGCTGCGCCCGGCGAGCCCCCGCTGGAGGCCCCCAGGCTGCCCACAGCGCCCCCGCTGTCCCCTGAACTGGAGGGAGTGGCGGACGATGACGAGGGGGAAGAGGACGGGCAGACGACGCCAGAGGAAGACGAGGACTGGGCCTGCGGGCCTCGGGCCTCAGAGCAGCCCAGCCCGCCCTGGCCAAAGAGCGACGACGTTTCTGACGACGAAGCGGAGCTGGGCTCCCGGGCACTCGGGGAGGCGGAGGAGAGCTTGCCTTCTCACGAGGCCGGAGCCGGGGACCCGCTGAAGGGTCTTCTGGGACCCCGGCCCGAGCCCCTGTCCCCTTCACCTGCTGCCTTCCCCGGGCCCCCGCCGGAGCTCAGCAGAGCCCCCGGGCTGGACCCCTCTCCCACTGAGGCCTCCGAGGGGCCGCGGGCGGAGACGGCGACGTCCTGCCAGGACCACGGTGCCGACAACGAGCGCATGATTTCGGCCCTGCTCCTGCCCTTCCGCGGGAGCCTCCTCTTCGAGGCAGAGTCGGTGGAGATCACGCTGTTCCCCCAGGGGGAGTCGGCGGAGAACGATGCCCTCGACGGCATTGAGGACGACGACAGCACCTCGGCCTCCTTCCTGCACTCCCTCTCCGAGACCTCCATCAACGAGGGGGTGGACGAGTCCTTCGCCTACCAGGACGACACTTCTGCATCCTCTGACTCGGCCTCCTACAACGGAGAGGAGGACGAGCAGCTGTACAGCGTCGAGCGGCACGCGGCGGTCACGGAAGGGGCACACGAAGCGGCCGAGTCTGCCAGGGAAGACACGGAGCCGGGCCTGTCCTGCTCAGGCAGCGAGAGCGAGATGGAGACCTCGTCAGATGAAGAGGACGACACCGCCTCTGCCCCACTGGAAGGACTGGGCCTGGGCCAGGCAGAGTTCGGGGGAGAAGGGTCCTTCCAGGGCAGGCCTGAAGAAGGAGAGATGCCCCAGGCAGACCGAGCTGTAAGCCCCACGGAGGGAGCCACTGTCTCTAGGCTGCAAGCCACGCCGAAGCCCGAGGGTCCCACGGATTCATCTGAATGTTCGGAAGGAAGCACTGTTTCTCCCACGGGGCACGGGGAGGGGTCTCCTCTGGAGCAGGACGCGGCAGCTGCGACCGGAGCGCTGGTGCCCGAGACCGGAAGTAAAGAGGAGTCCGCAGGGGAAGCGTCTCCCTCCCAAGGCTGCTCCAGGTCCCCGTCCATGTTGGACGTGCAGGGGGCCCCGGAGGAAGTCGGCCCCGATCCCGGAGAGTGCCTCATCGCCTGCTTTGATACAGACGACGAGGCAGACGGCCTACCGCCGCTGGACGACGACGCGGAGAAGCCTCTCCCAGTGGGCCAAGCGGTTGACGAGTGGGTGAGCCAGGGGTGTGTGGGAACCGCCATCCCACTGGAATGGGACCCGAAGCCGTGTCCTGCACCGGCCGCCGAGCCCGTGGCCAGAGTGCCCAGCGATGCGTCCGCCCTCGAGATGGGTGCCGAACTGAAGGAGTCCGAGGGACAGCTGCTCCAGCTCCTTGGCCAAGATAGCACCTCGGCGGGAGGCTCTGCGGGCCCCGAGGGTCGGAACGGAGGGGCGCTGGGCACGGAGCCAGAGGAGAAGGCGGCGCCGTTCGCCGCCCTCCTGGAGTCCTCCGAGGCAGCCCTCCTGGAGCAGCCGGAGGTGATCCGAGCCGACAGCGAGCCGGCGGAGGAGTGCCTCATCGCCTGCTTTGAGTCGGAGGACGAACTCGAGGAGGCCTCATCCCTGGACCAGGTGAACAACAATGAGGACGGCCTGGTGATGATGTTTCCAGAGGCCAAGCCCGATTCTGAGGACCTCGAGGGACTCGGCGCCTCTCCGGAGAAGGTGCTTACAGCAGCCGGCGAGGTCCACTTGGAGGCAGCGGCGCCCCTGCCCCCCACAGAGGAAGAGGAGCCTGCTGGGTGCCAGAACTGGGGCAGCCAGAGCCTCCAGGACGACTCAAGGCGGCCAGAGGGGGAGGCCGCCGTGGCACCTCCCGCCGAGGAGGAGCAGGTGCCCGGGGAAGGTGTGGCCGCCCCGTGGCTCGTGCCGTGCTTGGAGACCGGTGAGGCGGAAGGTTCCATCCAGAGAGACGCTGCACCCAGCGCGCCCCCCCACGTGCCGTCAGGGAGCGAAATGGGCAGCCCTCCCAAGGAGGCTGCAGAGGACGCCCCGCGGCTTGCTGAGGACCCCTGGTGTGGACCGGGGGAAGAGGACCTGGAAGGACATGAACACGACGAGCCGAGGTTGCCGGAGGAGCAGCAGCCAGCGCTATCGGACGAGGGCGATGCGGACCAGAGCTGGGAAACTCCAACGGAGGAAGAGGAGGAGGCGTCCGATCTTGAACGGGAGGAGTGCGGCAGAGTGGGCGCCGTGGCTGACGTCCCGGCAGTGGGAGACGCCGGTCAGCTAAGAGACGAGCCTGAAGTGGGGCCCCTCCCCGCGGAGGCGTTGGACCTGGGAAGCCTCCCTGTCCAGGAGGCCGAGGCACCCTGCCCGGCCTTCGAGCGCCTGGCCCCGAGAGAGGGCAACACGGATGTGCTGCCGGTCGAGAGCACCGAGGCGCCGCGTGCTCCGGCTCATCCGGCCAAGGGCGACAGCCCAGGCGAGGAGCCGGGCGGCAGCGAGGGCGAAGCCGCGGAGGCCAGCCGGATGGGCCCCCAGGAGTCAGCCGCTGAATGGCCCCAGCCGGCGGGCATCCAGGAACCGGAACTCCCAGCAGTGGACACAGAGGCCGAGGTCACAGATCCGCAGGGAGCTGCGGCGCGCGTGGGAGCTGCTGCATGCCTGCCTCCTCCGGGCGCACCCCGTCCTTCAGGCACCGGAGCTCCGGCCGCTGGAGCTGTCCCAGGAACTCCCCCCGCGGAAGCCACCGGTGCTGCGCCCTCCGAGGCCGGCGTGCGTAGCCTGTCCCCGGAGCAGCCACAGGTGCTCAAGAAGACCTTTGCTCAGGCTCTGCTTCAGGGCCTCCAGCCTGCCCTGGAGGCCCAACCTGCCTTCCTAGAAAAGGATTTGGAGGTCTCATTATCTCCGCCAGAGCAGCCGGTGGGCTCCCCGTCCGACTCGCCTGCAGACTCGAGCTTCTTCACAGCACCTGAGGAGAGCTTTAGTGAGGCCGCAGGGCTGGCTAGATCCCCCGACTCTGGGAGAGGAGGAGAGCATCAGGCGCCCGACCAAGCCTGGGGCCACCCAGGAGAGACAGTGGAGGAGAGCCCACCGCTTCCGCAGGACCTGCAGGTCACCACGCCCGAGCCGGTGCTTCCAGGCGTTGAGGCTGCGGATGTGGAAGCCGAGCGCCCGGCCACCCCTCCAAATGCCTTGCTGGCCGAGGAACCTTTGCGCCGGAGCACCGCCGTGTGTCTGCACTACACGGCTCTTGCCCGGACATCTAGCTTGGCCATCCCCTGGCACGCCGAGGCACAAAGGGAAGCCTCGCCCGCCCGTGGCAGCGGCCAGCAGCTCTTCTTCGCTTCTGAAGAGGAGATCTACCTGACCCAGCCCGAGGACACTCGGCTCGACCTTTCCAGTGCAGCCGTAGAAGCAGAGTGTGCTGACACAGAGGGAGATCTGGGGAGTGCGAGTCTGGAGCCGGCACCGAGTGGCCCCAAAGCCGCTGCCGCAGAGAGCTTGCCGACCGGCCCGAGCCAGCCCGAACCACTGGGTGCCTTGTTACCGTGTGCCGCCGGCTGGACGGAGTCTCCAGACCTTCTTGCCGACCAGAGGCAGGTCATGTGCCTGCTGCAAGGCTCCTTTGGAAGCCCGAGGGAGCAGAGGGTGGGGGCCGCAGCTCTCATGAGCAGCGAGCTCATCAGTGAAGCACAGAGCTTGCTTGGCCACCTGAAGGAGCGGCTCTCGGAGGCGTCCTCCGGGGAACTCACACCCGACCTGTCCGAGATGAAGGATTCTGGAGACGAGCTGGCGTCTCCAGCTTCTCCGTGCGATGGTGCTGCTGGCGATGAAGATGACGAGCAAGAAGCTTGGCGACCCTGGGAGGACGATAGAGGTGAAGAGGAAGAGGAGGCCGAGAGCCACGAAGCTCCCCCAGCTAATGTGGAAGATGTCGCCCCTGTTTCAGAAGTGGTGGAGGTGTCTACCGGCCACCTGGAGGCCTCCGGCCCAGAAGAAGCAGAGCAGCCGGCCCAAGATGGCACCTGTCCGGCTGGCGATAATGAGGGTGAAGTTGCTGAGCGCATCGATGGAGGGACATCTCCAAGCCCGCGAGAAGAGCAGTCACTCCGGAGTCCAGAGCCTGAGACCACTGCAGAGGGGAGAACCAGGCTGGCAGTGGAAGAGGCGGGATTAGGGGACACCTCCGCAGAAGCTGGCCAAGCGGGGGATGACCGGAAGGACGAAGACGAGCCCCTTCCCTCACCTGATCTCCCTGGAACCATGCAAGCTCCCGGCCCTGAGGACACGTGGCTGCCCACGGACGCCACCGCCTCGTGGACACAGGCTCCTCAGCCACCGGAATTATCGCCGCGAGAGTCTCCTGCCGCCCCTCTGCAGCAGGAGCAGCCGCCCTCTCACCCCTCCGGGGGGGGCACCCCTCTCGCCACCCCCTTCTCCACCACCCGAGCCCTCGGAAGTGCCTCCTGCGTCACCCGCGCCACTGCCGCTGCCCCCCCCAGAGGGCCACGTCCGCGGTCCAGCAACTACCTCGTGGCTTCCCGCTGCTACCATGAGCCCCGATGAGGGACACGCTCCTTCCAAAGAGACGCTGCTGCTCCTGAGAGACTCCAAAAAGCCGCCTGTGGAAGGTGAGTGGCCCCTTCCCGTCCCCTTTTGGAACCCGAAAGCGGAGTGGTCCTCCCAGCCTCTCCCCGGCCTGGTGTCCACTAAAGACCTTGCCCCCGGAACCCCCTAGGCCAGTGGCAGGCCTGCCTGCTGCATTAGCTGCGTCATGGGCTAGCACGCCGTGCTTGGAATCTGCCCCGTGAAAGGTGTGCGGAAGTCGGGATGCCCACGCGCCTGTGCCTGGCAGCACCCCAGGCTGCAGCGGCTCCGCCAGAACTCGCTTCCCCGGGAAGGCGTTGGCTCCCCGCCTTGCCTCTCGTTGGGCTTAAGCAGAGGGGCGGGCCGGGGCGCCCCCCACCCTTTCCGTGCATCTCCCTTGAGGCCTTGGCTCCTGCCCGCAACCTCTGTGGCTGCCCTTCCTTCTCCTCCTCTCCCGCCCAGATTTGAGATGGCTCCCGTTTTCCTTCCAGACAACTGCGCCGACATCCGTGCGCAGTCCAGGCGCGGCCTAGGAAGCCCTGGGGTGGGAGGCAAGGCGGGGTCAGGGTGCCCCCCAACGTCCCGCAGAGCCCACAGCCCTTCAGGGCAAAGGCCCCCAGCCACGTCCATGGGGGTGTTTCCGGAGCCACGGGGGCTTCCCCGGCAGAGTTTCCCGGCTGCCCTTTGCAGCTCGGTCTGACTCTCGAAGGGGGGGGCACGTGGCCGGCGCTGCCTGAGCTCCCCACACCTGTGCAACGTGGGGGGCACGTGCCGTGCCGGCCCAGGGAGGGGGCAGGACCGCTCCCCCCCAGTCACGCCCCCAACCTGCTTCCTTCCCAGCTTTCGACGTCTCCAGGCCCCGGGCACCCTGCCGAGCCGACCCTCTTCCCAGCACCAAGGATGCCAGAGGTCGGAACCGGTTGCCTGGCAACAAAGATTCCCGCGGCAAGGACTCGGCCTCGGCGGGAGAGAAGCGCGCCGACCACAGGCCTGCCCGGCTGGACTCGAGCTCCTCCAGTGAGAGGGAGCTGTCCTACCGCTGCCCGGAGATCGAGAGCCTGCAGGAGGCGGCGGGCCTCATGCTGGTGGAGGAGAAGAAGCCGCTGGTGGGCAAGCAAGCCCAGGAGGCCAACCAGAAAGGTAACGCTCCGCGCCGCGGCCGGGCCAGGCTCGGTTTTCCGGCACCGGTTCCCAGCTGTGCATGCCCCCCGCTGGCCGATGTCCCTCAGCATCAGCCTCCTTGCCTGCAGGGAGCTCTCAGCTGGTGCCTCTCGAGTTTAAGCTCCCACCGAGTTGAATGCCGGCACTCTGCCTGCCCCCACCGGTTGCCACAATCCTAGGCTTTCCGTGGAGGTGAAAAACGAGGCGGCTCTCCCCTCATTTTGCTCTCCTGCTTTTGCAAAGAGGGAAGCTTCCTGCACCCTCTTCCTGGGCAAAGTTTGCCCGTGAGGCTCCGTCCCTTCCCGAATGTCCCGTCTCCGAGCCCCTGCAATCGAGCAGACGTAAGACGGAGGATGGTCCGTGGCGAGATGGACTGAAGTTCTCGGGAGCTGCGTCCTTGGGCAACCCTCCGGATGCTTCGGCTAATGGCTCCCACCCGTGGCTCTGCCGGCCAGGGTCGGGGGAGTTGAAGGCCACGGATGGTCCCCCCGGGCAGAGCCCTCCCTGGCACTGGCCCAAAGGAAGGAGCCCCTGGCCCGCTCGCTGTGGGCGAGCCCCCCTCATGGAGCAAAGAGCAGCTCCGGGGGAGGCAGCCTGGCCTGGGGCCACTGCCGCAGGCCCGCCCGATAAACAGCCCCGAGAGCCGCGCTTCGCCTTGGGCGAGCGGAGGGAGAAATTCAGGTGACCCCCTTGTGGCTGTCCTGGGGGCCCGGCCAGTGTTTGCCCCATGGAGAGCTGGTGCCAGAAACGTCTCTCCCTGGGCACTGGCTCTGGCGTAAGAAATGTGGGCAGGGAGCGGCCATACCCCACAGTTTCTGCTGCGTGTTGCGACACAACAGGAGGGGCCGCGGCAGACCAAGCAGAACAAAGCTTTCATCCTTGCTCCATCTTTCTGCAATCCAAGGCCCTGCAGGCTGCCAGGGTGAGCGAGCTGGTGGGGTTTTGTCCAGCCAGGCCCAGGCCCTCGATCAAAGCTAGGCAGGAACAGCGGGCCAGGGTGGGATATCTTGACTGGCTCTGTTCCGGTGCAGCGAAGTAAGCCCGCTGGTGGAAACACAGACACAGAGTAAGTCAGAAGGGGCCTCCTGGGCCATCTAGTCTGACCCCCGGCTCCAGCCCAGCGCATTTTATTTATGACTGGGCTTGATTTCTCTGTGGGAATGCTGCCACTCGGACCGGTTCCCAACGCTCAGGGCAGCTGCCGAGAGACCGGGAAGAAGCAGCGGAGGCTGCGGAGGTCGCCTCGGGTTCCTCACGGGAGAGAACGAGGTGGGGGGCCGGTGCAGTGAATCGGGGATACGCTGGGCGTGGCTTCAGGGGTGGCCTCCCTCTGTCCCCAGGATCGTCCAACGACTCCGAAAGCAACGAAGGGTCGATACCGGAACTGGAGGAGCCGGAGGTTTCAGGACCACGGTCGTCACAGACACAGGTGGGCACAACACGGGCCCTTAAGGTGCCCGGGGCCTCGGGGGACGGATGCGCGTCAGATCGGGACCTGCTGCCTCGTGTCTCTGTAGGCAAACTCCAAGGCAGTTTCTGGGATTTATTTGGATTTCTCGGGGGGCCAAGCCAGGCCATTCCTCTCTCCCCCAGATGAGTTCAGACAGAATGAATTCTTCAGCTGGGCTTCGGCGAAATGAGGTTGATTGCTTCCCCTGCAGGCCATCCCAAATTAGCAGTTCCTTCCTCGTCTGTCGCACCTCATGCGCAAGCTCTCGCTTTCTGTCACAGACACTTTTCTTTTTGGGAGCCATTGTAAATGACCCCCCCCCCCAACTTAAGGGGCCGTGATTCACTTATCCTCTGGCGTGCAGTGCACTAAATGGGCTAACGTGGTACAGTCCAGCCACGGTGGCTTCCATCCGAAAAGGGGAGCGCTGCCAGGAGGCGATGCGAGGCTCAGGGGTCCCGCTTGCATCTTCCAGGCGCAGCTCACGCACTCCTTGGGCACCGGCGAAGAATCCATCAGCAAGGCCAAGCAGAGTCGGAGCGAGAAGAAAGCACGGAAGGTTGGTGCACGCGACTGAGCCTCTCTCCCAGATCCCGACCCCTTTCCCACAACCCCCGGGTGGCCAAAACGGGACCCCGAGGCACGGCCACAACCCAGGAGAGGGCTGCCAGGGTGGCCCGCCTGCGGGTCGAGGGGCAGAAGGCTCATTTGTGGGCCAAGGGGGGTTCACGGCCCCCCTGCGTCTGCGGTACCTCTCTGACGTCCGCTAGGAAGCTGGAACGGTGAGATCCACCGTCTGCATCCGGTGCATCCACATGTCCCGGCCTCGGAAGGGGCTGCCGGATCGTCGCCTCGCCCGGGTCCCTGCGCTTGGGTGTCCCTCAGCAGCATTCGTGCTTCCGGGTTGATCTCCCCAGCTTAACTGCCTCCACGGACCTCCACTTTTTCATTGGTGGGGGGCACACATGTTGTCCTGCTTTCATGGACTGGCCAGATTTGGAATCCGATGGGATGAGCCCCTCTCCTTCTGGGGCTGCCTCCTCCCCCTCCCCCTCCCCCACCCCTCCCAAGCCCCTAGAGAACGTGCCGGCCATTGCTAGCCATTTCCTCTTTGGATTCTGCTCTTTACATGGGCAGAGGCTTCTCATTTTGGCTGGGCTGGAAGGCTCTTTGCAGCTCCAACTGGCCTGTTCATTTATGTATTTATTTAAAACTCTTCTATACTGTCCCTTCCCGAAGTCTCACTAAAAGAGCTGCATTTCAAAGGATTGTTCAAAGTTTCGGAACCAGAGGGAAGGGGCTGGTCACAACTTTGGCCGCAAGACCTGCCCGTTGATGACGAACATGGTTAAACTCCTTGGGACTCCTCTGAGCATCTTTGGGGAGGGGGGGAGTCGTTCTGCAGGCTCCTAGAAGATAAGCCGGTCCTGAGATGGGGGGGGGGGGCACTGGATAAGGCTCACCTGCTTCCGTCAGTGGCTTTAGGGATTAGCCCTGCTTGCAACACCTGGCGATCAAGAACGGCCGCTCGCTTTGCAGGCATGGCCGAGGAGAACGGTTCTGGGGCTTGGCCCTGCCGGCCCGGCCATGGGCTGGGGTCAGAGAAGGATTTGCTTCTGGGTCTCGGTTCCTCTCCCATTCTCAGAGGGCCTGGGTGGGACCAGATGCCTGAAAAGTGAGCACCGGTTTGCTGAAAAGCCCAGGAAGGAATTCCCGGGATTCATGGAGCTCAGCCGCTCGTGGCTGCTCCAGACTTTACCAGCTGCAAGGGTTGGAAGCTTTCTGAAGGAGCTGGGGGATACTTTGAGGCAGCCTCCCAAATGTGTTGGACCACCACTCCCATTATTGCCAGCCATTGTGGGGACCATGGGACTTGCAATCCTGCACTGGGTTGGGGAAGGCTGAGGTGTGTCGGGAAGCACCACCGGGCTTTGCCCCGCACGATAACTCACTCTCAAGGGCCGAGTCCACGTTGAGGATAGGTCGCCTCCGCACCACGGGTTCCTGTGGCAATGTGGTTGTCACGTTGTCATAGTCTAGCTGAGAGGACAAACCATGGCGAATGGCCCGTGGTTCACAGCCCAACAACCACCATGGGTTTTGTCCAAGCCCTGGAGGGGAGGCACAGTCCGGTTCTGACGACGTGTGGGTCACTGTTGCGGCCCAACCCGGTCTGGTCTCGTGGGAGTGCTGTGCTGGGGGCCTCTGCCCCACACCTGGGTGCAGCTCGAGCCCACCTTCCCCTGCTCTTGTCCTCATGAACGGGCATCTCCTTCCCTTCCAGGCCATGTCCAAGCTCGGCCTGCGGCAGATCCACGGCGTCACCCGGATCACCATCCGCAAATCCAAGAACATCTTGTTTGTGATTACCAAGCCGGATGTCTTCAAGAGCCCAGCTTCGGACATCTACATTGTCTTTGGAGAAGCCAAAGTGCGCACCGGGGGGGTGGGGGGTGGGGGGGGTGGCAGGCACAGCAAGAGCTGAACAAGAAGGAGCTTTGAATCTAGGCAGGGGGTCCACCCCCCATCCCCTGGGGTAGGACTAGAAGTTGCTTTCCTTTAGAGGAAAGCTAGTTTCTGAAAGTGGTAGCTGATGGGGTGGTGGTTGAACTATCTATTTATTTATTTAGGGGACTTCTATGCTGCCCCATTCGCCGCAGCCTCGGGGCGGCTCACAAACCATAACTATGGGTCATCTTATGGCCCAAACCTACCAAAATCGTAAACCATGGCAAACAACCCACGGTCCACAACCCACAACAAGCCATGCCTTCTCACTGGGGGTTGTTCATGGTTAACAAACCATGGCTTGCTGTGCCAGAGTTCAGACAACATAACCCATAGTTTGACAACAGTGCTTGTGTCGACTGGGTTCAGACAACGTAAAATAAGTATGAAGCTTTAAGTTCAGAATCAGAGATGCCCCTTTGGACTGGAACGGGCAAAGGGCAGGGTGAGAAATTCCCCCAAGACCCCACGTCTTCGAGTTTAATGTTCTCACTGCCAAGAATTCAGTCTTGGGAAAGGTGCTTCTGTTTTCTTTGAACGGGGCAGAGCGCTGCCCAAAAGCCAGGAAACCCTTACCTGAAGGGGGGCCCAGGGATCAGGATTGGGCTGGGAGGGTCCGAGGGGGCTGTTGCGACCCATGGGCCCGGAGTCCAGCATCTGGGCTATCAAGCAGGCTATTGATGAAGGAGCTGCTCAGCTGGTGAAGGGGGCGCCCTTTCCCAAGGACCCCCCCCCACAGCTCCCCGCTTTCAGTTGCCCCAAGTGCCCCGGAGCCCTGGGCCAGGTCCCCCGGTCTTTCCCCCCCTTCCCCCCCCCCCCCCAGATCGAAGACCTCTCTCAGCAGGTGCACAAGGCCGCGGCAGAGAAGTTCAAGGTCCCTGTGGAGCACTCGCCACTGATCACGGAAACGGCGCCCACCCTCACGATCAAAGAGGAGAGTGAGGAGGAGGAGGAGGTGAGGGCAGGCGGGGGCAGCGGGTGATGCTGAGCTGCTGACACCGCAGGGGTGGGCGACCTCCCGGCAGCCGGGCTGCTGCTGCGGCCTGCGGAGTCTGCTCAGCCGGGGATCAAGCGCAGAGGCGGGGAGAGGAAAGCCCACTTCCGAGCTGCGATCAGAGGGACCAAGGCGGCTCCCCCAAGGCCCACTCCCGCTTTCAGTGGGTAGGAAGGAGGAGGGGCAGGTTAAGCCCCTCCCCGGGGCACCCCCATTGTTTGGGGGGTGTTTAAAGAGGGTGGTTTGAAACCCTCAAGAAAAGCCGGAGAGCGTGGTTGCTGGCGCTCATGGTGGGCGTCCCTGCTTCTGTGCACCGTGCGCCCAGGCTTCCTCGGCTCCAGGCTGCCTGCGGCCGTGGGGGCCGTCCTCGAAAAGGCCCCGCAGCATCCGAAGGCCCGGCTCGCCCGTGCACCCCTCAGCTGCCCGGTGACAGGCTGGCTGGGTGCTTGCTTGGCGAGGAGACGCAGGCATGGCAGTGATGCTGCACACCCCCCCTCCCCGGATCTTGTCCACCGCCCCGCTTCTCTCTGCAGGTGGATGAGACCGGGCTGGAGGTGAGAGACATCGAGCTGGTCATGGCGCAGGCCAACGTCTCGCGCCCCAAGGCGGTCCGGGCCCTGCGGCACAACAACAACGATATCGTCAACGCCATCATGGTGAGTCCTCGCTTCGGGATCCCCCAGCAGCCCCCCCGCCTTGCGCTGTGGCCCCTTCGGACGGCTGGGACCCGCTGGGCACCGGGCTGCCTTTGCAGAACGTTCAGAGGGTCCATTCCTGTGGGTCCAGAGCGCTGTGCCGGACCGGGGCTTGACGGGGGCTGGCCACAGGGAACGGGGGGTTGATCCTGGCAGCGGGGTGCTGTATCCCGGCAAAATCCAAAGCGCCCTGTGGGCACTGGGCGTCTTGGGGCCAGGATCCTTGAAAGAGCACGTCTGTGTGGGTCAAGAGGGCCTCTCGGGGGGCCTGGAAGGGCGTGCCCCCCACCTCCACGCTCGTCTGCCTCCTCTGCGTTTGCAGGATGGCCACAGCCTCGTATTTTCAGGCGTTTAATTGCTTTCATCTATTCGGCGGTTCCCCAGGCCCCCGCGAGTGCCCTTTGGGGAGGGAGGTGGGAAGTAATTCAGGTAAACAGTTGACGGCGGTGGCAAATGAACATTAGTAAGAAGGGTGCGGAGGGCGATGTCAACGGCACTGACAGTTCACGAAAATTACAGAGCCAGCCCTGCAGCTCCGGGCGGCCCTGCTCCCCCGTTCGGTCCTTGCTGGAGACCCCAAGCAGCCTCCCCCCGCCTGCTCCCTTCGTGAGCCTCCCCCGCGGTGGGTCAGCGAGAGGCGTGGGTCTGAAATGGACGTGGACGCGGGGTTGCCCAGTGCAAGACGGAGGGCTCCTCTCCCAAGCCCCCGGGCCTGACTTTGGGGGTCCCCTCGCCCCGCCACTCACCACGTGGCAGGTCTCCCAGCTCTCTGTGTAGGGTTTTCAGGGGGTGGGAGGGACTGCCGTGAGGGAGGGGCGCCAGGGGAGCCCACCTTGCGAGGGTCGCTCCTCCGAGTCCCACCCAACGCAGATTGCAGCCCTTGTGCATTTCTGCGCCCTGTGCTGCTTGCTGTGTGCCGCCTGGCTCTTCCCACCTCGGCAGGTGCCGGGCAGCTGCTTCATGTCCCAGATAAATCCAATTAGCTGCTGGGGGTGGAGTGATCAAGGGACCCCCCCCCCTTGCTAACTCCAGCCGTTTGCTTCCTTTCTTTCTGATGCAGGAATTGACTATGTAGCGACCGGCTGACAAGCACCCCCCCGCCCCCAGCCTCTGCCCCCCCTTCTGTATAGATGCACAGATGCACATAGCCAACCGGCTGCTGTTCGTTAGGACTGCAAATAATTAGTCCCAACTCTCCCGCGTTGATAATGCTCAATAAACCATGGTATTCACTTGAACTGCATCTCGCCATCAGACTGCTCCATTTCGGGGGGACCCCTCGGGGTGCCAGCTGCTCCTTGGGAGGCGTTCCGGCGGGCTGGGAATAAAACTCTTGGCTGCCCAGCGGGGAGAGTGTGCGTGCCACTCTGTTCAGCCTTGCTGGCATTCTCCCGATTAGATTCCTCCTCCTCCGAAAGGACTGTGTGTTGGCTGTCCACACGGACTTGCAAAGCCCGACAGCCCCTGGCATTGGAGGGCCGTGGTGCTGGAGAAGAGCGGCCGCTAGGGCAGGGCCTACCCCCCACAGACGGCTTTCAGGCCCGTCCCCTCCTCGCCCGTCGCTCCTTTCCCAGGACAAGCCAGTTGCCTCTGGGGAGGGCGAGGCGCGATCCGAGTCCCGCCTCCTGTGGCTGCGCCAGCTCCCTGCCCGCTGGCGGATGGAGGCCTCGGATGCTGCCCTCCCCAACCTACTGCCCTCCAGCTGTAGCTCCGCTGCCTTTCCCATCTTCCTGCACTCCAGCCACGCTATCAGCTGATGGGAGTTGCCGTCCTGCAAGATGTCACATGGGTGGAGGCCTGTCCTCCCCTGCAGAGGAGGCAGGATGTGCCCCAACGGAGCAAAGCTCAGGGAACCCAGGTTCCACTTGAATGCCAGGAAGCACTTCCTGACAGTCAGGACCCCGAGGGGGTGGAATGGGCTTCCCCGGGCGGTGGTGGTGGCCCCATCGGTGAGGGTGTTCAAGGATAGGCTGGACATCCACATGGTGGGCATGTCGTGAGTGGAGCCGGCTGGAGCCGGGGGGGTCAGACTAGATGGCCCGGGAGACCCCTTCTGACTCGCCCTGTTTCTATGTAACTAGAGAGCCCCATGTTCCCCGGCCCTGTTGTGGCCTATTCTGCTCAAATGGAAGCAGCCAATCCCTTGGCCCCGACGCAGTCTTTCTCGAATGCACGGGTGTGTATTAGCAAACGCACACTGAGTGTGGTTTCACGAGGGCGTGCAAGCACGACTGTGGACAAGTCTCCCTCGCGGTGCCGGGGATCTGATGCTTGAGGGGCATGGGGGGGGGGGGCTTTTGCAAGGGCTGCATAAATGCCTCAAGGGGGAACGCTTCAACAAGCTGCTTGTCTGGAGGGCCTGATGAACCTCCAGTGGCAGGGGCAGTGTAGCTCCCCTTTGCCTGCTCTTGGGCTTCCCCCGAGCCTTTGGGAGGCGGATGCAGAGAGGTAGCTGCTTTCCAACAACAGCCAAAGGACGTGGCTTCCCCACCCAAACTCCCATCAGTCACAGCCAGCATGGTCAGGGATGGGAGGAGTCACAGCTGGGAGAGCCAGCCCTTCCCCACCCCTGACGTGGCTGCGCTGCCGGCCGGATCCAGCACGGCGGACGAGGGTAGCAGCCCATCTCCTCCCATGGGGTGCTGAGCACTCATCTAGCCCCTGCAGGGAGAGGGGCTGCCGCTCTTGCATTGGAAGGTCCCGGGTTCAACTTCAGGTTCCGCCAGGTGCAGCTGGAGACACCCCTGCTAGAAGCCCCGGACAGACCTCGCCGGCGGGTGCCAGCCAGCAAGCGCTGCACCTGTTGGGTTTGCAGCCACGCTCAGGGTCCTGGTGAGCAGCGACCGCATGGCTCCCGGGGCCAGGCAAGCCAGAGGTTTCCTTGGAAGCGACCTGAAGCCATCCCACTTTGGACACATCCTGACAATCGAGGGAAAGCCAGCGACAGCGAAGACCAACCGCGGGGTGGGCGGACTCCGTGAAGGAAGCCACAGGCTGGAGCTTCCAGGACAGGGCAGGGGTGCCTTGACGGCACATAAAACAGCCCCCCCTCCCCTCCGCAGTCTAACGCAGTCCGGAGGGGCTGGCCTGCCCCTCTGGCCGGGACTCATGGGAGCCGAGCAAAGCTCCTCCGGAAGGCCCCGAGCGATGGGCAGCTGGCTTGGAGCCTTGCTTTGCTTGAGGCACTTCCTGCACAGGGACCGGAGGGTCTCTTTTAGTACCTGGTCGTGGGCTGGTGGCTGAGCCCGGTGGTGAAACTCCCCCCCCCCCCCGCATGCCTGCGAGGGCAGCAAGGCACCGAGCAGCGGCTCGTGGGGCTTGTTTGTCAGACGCCGAGTGCTGTTGCCTCGACCAGCCCCGTGATGGGAGAGTCCGGGAGCCATCGCCCCCAGCAGCACAGCTCACGGACAGGAATTCTGGGATGAGTAGCCCAAAGCATCCGGGGGACTTGAGGCAGTGGGGAGGCGAAACCATGAGGTCTAGAAGCATGCATCATGTGTCATTTGGTTTTGAAAGAAGCCGCTCCAGTGGGCGAGCGCAAGGGCCTGCTATTAGAAGCTTCGCAGTGAGCAGGCAGCTGCAAGGGTCACCGAGGAATGGCTGGACGCCATGGCCGTAGCCCCCCCCCCCCCCCCCGAGCCTTCTGCAAGCAGCTGTTCTGGGGTGGCGGTCCAGGGAGAAGTCGGCGGGAGCTAGGGAGACGCTTCTCCCAGCCACCTCCTTCCTCCAACGTATCCCTGTGCTCCAAGCTGGCCCACTTCCCCCTCATTCGGAACTGATGGCCCCGGAGGTCGCAGAGGAGAGCCGCAGAGAGGGGCGGAAAGCTGCCCCCGGAGCCACGTCCTCCCTCCACAACCAGCGAGTTTGCTCTGCTGGAAAGAAGGGCAAATTCCTCGCAGCCTGCAAGGAAAGGCCGCCATGTGCCCAAGGGGCGGTGGGGGGAGAGGAGGCCGAGGGACGCGAGGCGCTCGGCGGCAGCTTCGCTCGAGTCTGATGCAACCCGAGGCAAGCGGGCCGCCGGGGGCCAGGGCCAGCCGCGTGTGCCGGCACCGCGCCAGAGTCGGTCCCCTGCGGAAGGCCGCGCAGCCGAGCCCTCGGGGGACGGGAAGGGAGCCCGGTCTCACGCTCGCTTCTGCAAAGCGTGGCGATGGCCGACGATCCGATCCGGAGGGTTTCAATGGGGCTGAGAGCATTCGTGCAGGGGCGGCCTGTCCCGGCGGCTAGCTGGGCCCGCCAGGACTTGGGGCTGGAGGCCGTTCGATGGGGAACGTGGACAGGCGGCCAGGAGCTGCTTTGCCGAGCATCGCTGGCCGCGGTCCCCCCCCGACTTGCCTGTTTTGCTTCAACGTCAGAAGCCCGGAGCAGTGCGTGACCCAAACGGGCCAAGCCTGCCTCCATGTGGCGCTCGCCAGCCATGTTGGACTTCAACTCCCAGCAGCCCCAGCCAGAAGCTTGATGCCCCACACACGTGCAGGCATCAGGGCGGGGAAAGCGGGCTTGAACGTTGCAACGGCACAGCTTACGGCCTCGGGGTTCCCAGCGATGCACTGGGCTCTCCCTGCTCCAGTGTGGACAAAAAGCTGCCCTGGCAGACCGCATCCCCCCCAAGCGAGATGAGGTGGGCTGCGGAGCTTCCAGGAGGAAGCCCGGTGGAGAAAGCCGGGCCGCCTTGGCCTGTACTCCTCCCTGGACCCCTTTGCCGACCGAAGCAAAAAGCCCAATTGCAGCTGGGCCCCAGGCAGGCGAGGGTTAAAAGCAGAAAGGGCCAGGCGCCCCCCCCCCCGTTCCACAGCCAGGGGGGCTCGGCTTCTGCTGTGAGCCTGCTTTGCTTCGCTAGAGAATTCCTGCACTTTCGGAGGCTGCTGAATCTGCCTTCCTTTGTCCAGCTGACCTTTGTGCGCAGGGCAAAACTGGGAGAGGCGGCCTCCGGATCCGGCCCCACAATAGCATCGGGGCTGCTCGGCTGACAGCACCCGGCTGCCCTCCGTCCTTGCAGCGTGTGCCCAGATGAAGCCGCGGGGCCGGAAGCTGCTGCAGCGGCGCAGCCAGAAGGCCTTTCCATGGAGCCGGTGGCAACGATGCTTCTCCTGCGATGCTTCTCCTGCGGAGCCACGTGGCCGCTGCTGATGGCGCTCCGGGCGATGCCCTTCCCATATTCGGGAATGGCCTGACGGACAGACCAGTTGCACACCAAAGTCTGGGGGTTCCTTAATGAATGAAAAGGCAGATCCTGTGCGGAGTCGGACCAACGCAGCCCCGCAACCTGCAGCAGGCCTAGAAATGCACCTTCTGTTCTTTAAGGCGCATCTGGTCACACAGAGGGGCTGCAGGACCAAATCCAGCTCCCCGGAGTTCCCTCGCTGAGCACAGTGCCTCTCTCTCCCCCAGGCATGGAGGCAGGCATTGTTCCATTCTGAAAAAGTGGAACTGCCTTGCCGATTTGCAATCTGAAAACAAGATTTAAAAACATCAAAATAAAAATTTAAAAATGTTTAAAAATTGCAGTTTGCAAGGAAATGTGCACATACACACACGGTTGGTATTCTGGCTGCACTCTTCCGAAATGATGCCCTTCCCAAGATGGAAAGAAGCCGCACTGCAGGAAAGCCAATCTTTCTAGTGCAGAGTTTTTCTTCCCTGTAACGAACCCGGACCACAAAAAGGCCCCCAAGGTGGAAAACTGTGTGCAAACTGCTTGTGTTACACGCGCACGCTAGAGCGGGGAGGAGAACGAAAAGTCAAGAGTAGAGCAAGGACAAATCACCACAGAACCCATCAGATCCCACCTCAGCATTTCTAGAGAGCGAGCTTGAACTGGCTCTGGGGTGGGGTAAGGCCGAAGAAATATCAACACCTTCCTGGCCTGTCTGTTTCATCTGAAGATTTCGCACGAAATAGACAAATGGGGGCAGGAAGAGGCAGGTCACGTACCAACGGGAGTAAGTGATGGACAGCAAAATGTCATCCCCTTGTGCAAAATTCGGCTCTCGGGGAGGCGATCTCACAGGCACTGCCGGTATTGCAGGCCGTCGAAGCTGTACCTTTAACATCATGAGGACTAGAAATCCAAGGGGGAGTATGAGCTGAGAGGTTTGCAGAAAACGAACTTCTATTTTTGCTGCAGAGCAGCCCTCTCATCTGGTGTTCCCCAGCTGCATTGGACTGTAAGTCCCATCATTCCCAGCCAGGGGGTTGCCTTCCAACACAGCTGGTTGAGCTGTGCTTGGAAGATATTCCACTCGGCATGCAGAATTGCTGAGAGCTCCATTTGGGAGCGGGTGCGAATCTCGAACGCCCGGCCTCTGCTGACACCACACGCTTTGCCAGCATGTGCTTTTGTAGAGTGGGCCCAAGGAAGCAGTGAAACACAGCCGGGGCGTTACCTGGTCACGGGATACTGTGGCCAGCAATGCCCAGTGGGGACGATGGGCACTGTAGCCCAGCAGATCAGCTGGACACCGAAGTTGCCCCACTGAACCAAGCCAATGCTTAACTCTCGTCTGTAGCAGCTGATGGGTGAGGTGCCGGCCCTTGTGCTGTGGGGCATGCGCTTCAGAGCTCCCTTACGGGGCCATGTTGATGGCTAGCTAGTCAGGAGCCCCCCGGATGAAAGCTGATCTTGCTCAGCGGAAAACCAGACAAGGGGGCACATCCCTGGCTCTCCGGTGGGCTTCACCAGCCGCAAAGAACAAAACGTCCCATTATGCATAGCAAGCAGGACCAGGGCTGAACATGCCCCAAAGGACAATCCCAAAGCATTTTGCTTTCAGGCTCATTTCCAAGGGTCCTGTAGGGCTGGATCCGAAGCTACTTGTGGCTGTGATCTGGTGTGAGCCGTGACTTTGCACTGGAAAAGCGTAGGCTGAAGCGTGGCGGGGAAGGTGTATCGAACGTCGGACGTGCCGGTCAGATCCAGCCATCCTGGAGGACCCCGAAGGCTGCGCCCGTCTGCCACTAGCTTCCTTTCCCAGGTGTGCTCTGCTCCACCCCAAACAGCTGACGCGCCTCATCGAGTGCCGCATCACCAGCGAGAGCTTTAAGGCAGAATAGACCGATTTGGGGGGCATACCCCCTTTTCCTTCCCCAGCCCCGGAGCGCTTCCCACTCCAAGAACTCCTCCAAAATGGAGCTCATCTGTTGGGCCGGAAGCGGTTTGACAGCTGATGTAGCAAGCGCCAAACAAGGAAGGCAGAGCAGAAAAGGGGCGGTTGGGGAGGGGAGAACACACCCGGTCTGAATTCTGCACCTAAAGGGGCCCATATGGCACAGCGCTGAGAGGCCCACATGGAGCCCTGCAGACTGGGGTGCAGCCTGCGCTCAGCCATGAGGCCCCCTGGACCCCTTCGGGCCAGCCACGGCCTCTCCTACCCCACAAGGTGGTTGTTGCAGGGATAAAACAGAACGGGAGAGAATGCCACAAGCCATCTGGCCTTCCTGGCCAGAAAGAACTGTCTCGCGTGCAGGGATATTGGCCTAAAATGATGAGCGATGCAGAGGTCTAGGAATTTTGCCACGCTTAACATCACTGATCCGCAGAGTAAGCTTGTACCTGCATGCTCTTCACCTGGCAGCAGCCCATTTTCGACTTGGGCGCGCCCCAGGCAGCTTGCCCTCCACATCTCAGGTTCCACCTGCTTCAGGTGTGCACTACCAGGGAAGGCGGTAGTAGAAAGTGTTCCACGTGTGTGAAGGAGCTGGCACAGAAAGGATCGCGACTCCGGTGCAAATTCGACTCCCCAGGTAGACAAGTTCCTGCATATTCCCCACCTTCTTCCCCAGGCAGTAAAACTGCGTACGCGGCATTTGCAAGCTGCAAAATAGCGTACCGCCAACCCTCTGGTGGGATGCATCGTAGCTGCAATCCTTACAGGAATGCCTCTTACCTGGGAGTAAGCCACACTGAGGATAGACTTCCTCTTGAGGGAAAGTGCGCACACCCAGCATGTTCAGAGCTGCTCAGAAGCACAGAGCTAATCCCGCCTGTCTGCCTGCCGCTTGTGTCTGTGCGCACGAGGCATTGCAAAGTGTTCCCTGGGGAAGCTAAAAAGGGCGCTCTTGAAATTCCTAAAGCCCCGGAGGACGACACGAGTAAAGAGGAAGGTTGATGGCAGTCTTGCATGCTAGAATCATGCACGGCACAGCGCGATCTGCACCCACCTCTCACTCCTCGCTGCCCCATAAAAGATCTTGAATTTGGAGGTGCACAAGAGAAAATTTGTGGGCTCCCCTGAGTGGCGGTGCCACATCTGGGAAGCTCGGCCAGACACCCTTCGCCCACCCTTCCCTGTAAGAGGCAAGGAAATGGGCACATGTTCTCAGGTCTTCTCAGCATCATTGAGAAGCAAGGTCAGGACTCTGGCTGCCCCCTTGGGAAAAATGAATGCTCAGCCACATGGAAGTTTAGAATCCCGTTTGCGGTGGTTGCCAGCTCCCTGGAATCCTTGGAGGGGAATCGTGGAGGGCGGATCTGCTTCACGTGTGCCGAGAGAGAGAAAAATACAGCGTGTTCCGTGCAGACCCAAGTTGCTTCTCTAGGAGCCTCTGACTCACATTCCCAACTTCAACAACCAATGCTCTGGCCGCACGACCAGGGGAGGTTTCCTGCTGGCAGCATGAACACCGCGCGCATTACTAGACGCCCTTCCACAGAGATCCTGGGGCCTACAAAATCACAGCAGGACACAACCCCAGAACGGTTGTGGTACTGCCCATGTCCAGCCCTGTCCACGCCATGCACACAGTGAGGAAGCACAGGTAGGACCGAAGACCAGCCCTGCAGTGTAGGACCACAGGGCGATCCAGCCCGGCATTCTGGTCACAGTGGCTGAGCGGCTGCTCATGGGAAGCCAACCGGCAGGACGAGGGCCGCCTCCCACCCATGCTCTCAGCAACTGGCGCACGGTCCTGGAACGGGAGAGGGTCATGAGGACTAGAAGCATGGAAAGCTTCGTCCCCCAGGAGGTGGTCTGATCTCCCTTTCGCACCGCCCCAGTTGGCTTGTGGCGGCGATGGCCAGCAGCCACCCGTGCGCAAGGCCTGGCCTGCCTCGGCTTCGGGAATGACGCCGCCAGGCTCCAGCAGGAGAGGAAGGAGACGCCACCCTGCCTCCTGCACAGCTCTGCCCCGGCTCCCCTCACTCGCCAGCTTTCGGAGCGGACCTCTCCGAGCCCTCGTGGCCCTTCCACACCGGGGAACTGCTCCGGGTCTCTGGGGAGAGCAGCCCCTTGCTGTGCTTCGCCCCCCTCGACACAACCCTTCTCTGGGGGGGGGGACCGGGACCCTGGGCACGGCAGTCCCCGTCTGAACGGCCAACCCTTCTTCCTCCCGAGGCTGCCCCCCCGCCCCGCTGCCGTCGTGTGCCGCGGCTGGGCACGAGCCAGAGGGCGGGCGTGTGCCCGGCCCCGTGCGGCCAGCCTCTCGGGCATCGCAGCAGCCGGGACCGGGGCCGCCCCCGCAGCCGGCCACCCTGCCACTCCGCAGCACAGGGACGAGCAACGGACACGCTTCCCGAGGGCCGCCCCTGCTGCGAAAAAACACACACTCGGTACTCCCACTCGGAGAGCCAAAGAGCGCACCGGTCAGTTTATAGGAGCCAGCAGAGATTTCGTGGCATGAAATACACATACAAAAATAACTGTGCATTTTATATGTATAATATATACAACGCATATACAGTATGTATACATTTCTTCCACTCCTTGCGCCTCTAAAAACCAAGCCACTCCCAACTCAACAGGTCCGTCCACCCTTCACGCTGGAGCAGCGGCGGAATCGATCCGGGTGGGCCTCAAACCCCCCGGCAGCGGTCTCCCCCGCGTGGGAGAGTGCCACGTCCGGCACGGGACACCCGCCGGCCCGCTCTCGTTCCAGGCAAGCCGTACCAGCCGTGGCCAGTGCCAGGCGAGCCGCGGGGGCTGTACCGGCTGCTTTGTGGGGGCGGGGCTGCCCGCCCCGTCGGGACCGCCTGCGACGCCACCTTCGGACTCACCCAATGCCCCCGGGGGTGGGGGGCAGTAGCACCACTGTATTCTGCAGGGACCCACACGCCACACCAAACACGCACTCGCATCCTTGGGGCTGGGAGAGGCTACCGCCTGTGCGCTGTGCTCGGGAGCCGGCCGGCGTGGAAGCGTGGGCTCGGGCAGCCGGGCTCCGCGGAGCCAGGGAGGCCGTGGCACCCCGCCGGGAGGCTGCGAGCGGCTGCGCCCCGCTCCACAGCTGAGGCCCTCTCCTGACTGGGCTCGGAAATGTGATGACAGACACACGCAATATTAAGTTATTCACATTGTGACGCCGTTCATTAAAAAAGGGTTAGAAATGTCATGTGCAAAGCCACCCCCGGTCCGTGGGGTCCCTGGGTGGGCTGGCGGTCTGTGCAGCAAGACCCAGGCTCTTCTTCTCGGATCCATGGCTGCTCCCCCCCCCCCCCCAATTCAGCCCCCAGCAAGAAAACAGACGGGCGCCCGGCGATGTGGCCAGGCGCTCTCTGTTCAAGGCCAGTCCAGTTCCGCTTCCGTGGCTCCCCTGCTCGCGCTCCTTCACAGCAGGGGCCATCGGCCACGAGCCCGAGGTGGGTACCGCAAACAGCCGCTGGAAAAGGCGGGCAAAGCAGCGCTCTCGGGCTCGCCCCCTTCCCGCTTCGCCTGGAGCGAGAATGCCGCCACCATCCAGGAAGAGCCCGCGAGCGAGTGACGGGGCGCCCGCGAGGGGGGGGCCACCCTTGCGCTCCCGCCGCGCCTTCAGGAGGAGTCGTGATCCATGCTGCAGCCCAGGGCCTCGATGTCGTTGCTGATGTCCGAGATCATCCGGTCCCACTCGTCGCCTTCCGAGGGCACCGACTGATCGTCCGAGCTCCCCGCCGCTCCGTTGCCGTTGGTCGTGGAGTTGGACGCCGTGCTCACCGCCCGCCGGTACCTCCCAAAGCTGTCAGTGATGATGCCCCGCCCGTCCTTCACCCCAATGGTCTCGAGGAAATTCTCGAAGTACTGGCTGTCCTTTTCGGGGATGAACGGTCTAAGGCCTTGGGAAAAAAGGGAAAGAGGAGATGGACGCACGGAAGAGAAGGAAGACGAAGGAAGCACTCTGGCTTCCTTTCCCCCCGAGCACCCGCCTCCGGGTGGCAGCCGGCTTTTGGGCCATTTCCCCATCGAAAAGGGTCGCTGCAGTGGGATGGAGCAGGTTGCTTGTGTCCTGCCCCCTCTACTTTCTACCCTGCCCACCAACAGAATGCCCCCCCCCCCCCGGACTGAATTTGGCTCCCCTCCATGAAGCGGCTCGTCAATCAGGGCCAGCCTCAGACATGCCGGTGCCTTCAAGGAAGCTTCGGGAACGCTGCCGGGGAGGCCAGCCACTACTCCGCTCCCTCGTTCAAGCCGCACGCAGGTGGAAGGGACCCGCGCTCGCTGCCTGCCCTCCTTCACACGCCACAGTCAAAAGCTGGCCTGCCGCACGGGGGCTGCCCGGGACATGCACTCCCAACACTGGACGCCAGAACCACGCAAAGCGGCGTGGCTGGAGCCGAGCGGCCCACGGCGGGGAGCTCTGCCCACTCCACTCAACCTGAGCGGACACCCCTCCTGCAGCCAGCGCTGGAGAACCGGGAAAGCCGACTGCTGGCATTCCGACGGCGAGGGGCTCCGCGAGCACGTCCATCTTGTTTTCCAGCCGGCTTCCCTGCTCGGGCCATCAGGTCTGAGAGGGCCCGGAGGCAAGAGAGTGCCAGGCCGGGAGAAGGAGAGGCCTGTGCCACGGGGAGGCCGACGCGCTGCGAGGAAGCGGGGCTGGCCACGGAAGGACCGCCCTCGAGCTGGGAGACTGGGGGGCTACAGCCCCCGCCGACCAAAGCGCCAGTGCCTGGCAGACGGTGCTGCCAGCCTGTGCGAGGGGTGCCCTGGAGCAGCAGGGAAGGGGAACGCGCAGGAGGTGTGCAGCCTCACCACCAGGCCGCTTCCTGATCCGGACCCCGGAGCTTGTTAACGCACGCACCACGGGAAGCGGCTCCAGGCGAGTGACCTTGCCATCTCAGCAGATGTGCCCGGACCAGGGTAAACCCAACGGCTGCTTTGCAAGGTAAACGGCTGCAGAACTTTGGTACCGCCTGCATACCTTTGGGTCTCACGCTGGCCTGGTTCTGGCATAACGCTCAACCCGTGCTTAGCGTTTCATCCCAGCCTTTTCCGGGTGGCGGCGCCAGAGGAGGGCAGAGGGGGCTCGGGGGCCCAGCACTGCACCAAGCGTCGTGGGGATGCGGAAATGGCTGCAAGGAGCCCGGAAGCGCCTGGGATTGCCGCAACCCAACGGAAGGAAGCTCACCAAGGAGAAGGAACTTCCGGCTGTCCCCGTAGAGCTGTCGCAGGCTGACGCAGAACTCGTGGACGGACGCCCCGTTGCGGTACTCATGCAAGAGCATTGCAAACTGCTGGATCTCGTGGGAGGAGAGTTTCGTTCGCAGCTGCGGAAGAGGAGAACTGGGGATGAAGGGGACACAGAGCAGGGCCCGTTCCAGGACTGGGAGGCCGCAGCGCCACTCGAGCAGGGCGAGGCCTTGCGGAAGGCGAGCCCTGAAAGCGCCGCAGCTTGTCTGCATGGGAAGAATGCAAATACCTGCGATACCACTGTAAATTTGCATTCAGTGCTCAGGACCTCATGCAAACCTCCAGGAACAGACATTCTGACAAGAAGTCCTCCACTGTCGCACCAGCTGGGTTTCTCCGCTGGAAAGCTTCAAAAAAGAGCCAGCGGTCTCTGGATGGACTGGGATGGACCAGGGAAGAGCCAGAGCCTTGCACTGTGTTCCTTTCCCTTTTTTCCTAAACCCACCCGTCACTCAGAGGGGCTGCCAAAATTCCTCCGCAACCAACATTCCTCCAGCGCTCAGTTACTTTTACAGGGAGTGCCAGAGAGCAAACAGCCGCTCGATCCACAGACCAGCTTATGGAAGTGGGCCCATCAAGAGACCCAGGCACTACAGGTCAGACCGGGGACGGGGGGAGGACCCCCCAGAGGTGGGGGACGGGGCACTTGCCCCCACAACGGCGCTGTCCCGTGTGGGCCGCTTGCGCAGGGATGCAGTGCCTCGACCTCCCTGGCCACGGGGAGCCAGCCACGCTCTCCCTGTCTCCTGCTCTGGGACATGAACCACTGCTGATGCTCTTGCAAAACAGGGGCTCCGGGGGCTCCAGGGGAAAGCAGAAGCCAGTGGCTCCCAAGTCAATTTCTGGCCCGGAGCCGTGCCTTCTGCAGTCCTCCAGACGAGGCAACCGCAAGCCTCAGGATCCCCCCGCCAGCCTGGCTCAGGGCTGGCTGCAGCAGCGCCGCTCCAATGCCCGGAGGAGCCCAGCCCCCCCGAATCGCGACCGAGGTGCGGCTCGACCATGCGTCTCAGCCCTCCGTGAGCCCTGCGCCCAGAAGGGCCCGGGGCACCGGCGCAGACCCTGCAGGGTGTCCCGGCATACCGTCATCATGTAGTCCTGCAGCAGCTCCGTCGCGGTGGTGCTCAGCTCGCTCTCGCTGGCGGTCTTGGCGTGGGGAGACGTCTGTGCCGAGAAGGAGGAAGGCGAGTTGCCCCCGGTCTCCAAGGACTCGGGAAAGGAGCTGAAACGGCACGGCAGGCCTGCGCGTGACTGCTGGGAACGGAGGGCTCCTGCCCAGGCACCGACCACCGTCCCCGGCTCCAGAAGCCCGGGCGGGGGCTCCCTGCACGCCCCGGGGCCAGGGGGAGCGCCTTGGGGGCCCCTCCTAGGGGACGGCAGCAGCCACCCCCGAACACGCCGGCGTGGGCAGACACTGGCCAGGGCACCCCCTCGCCCCGCGGCCTGTGCCCCAAAAGAGCAGCTCCTCCCGGTCGGTGCCCTGCAGGTGCGCTGGACCACGCCTGGGCATGCCGCAGCCAGCACACGGCCGAGCCCACCTGGGCACTCTGGGCTGGCCGGGGCCATGCAGGTCTTCCTCGGCCTCTCAGCGGGGACGCACCCCGAGCCCCCCATGCCCAAAGCCCCTGCTCTGCCGGAACTCAGCCGCGTCCACCGAGCTGCGGAGAGCTCCGCTCGCAGCCCCTGCCGTGGGGTCTGCCGGCCCAGGACAGCTGCCTCCCCTCTGCCCACCGTCTTCCCTGTTTGTGGGGGGGCAGCAGAATCGGGGACCAGCTGGCACACGCCTTGCGTGACTGCGCCCCCACCCGCCTAGGACAGGGCGACACGGCTCTCCACGGACTCCTGCCTGCAAAAGCAGGAGTCCGAGAGCCGTCCGGAGGGAATGTGTCTGCAGCAGCTCCTCCTGAGCCAGCATCACCCAAGCAGACCGCGAGTCCGGCTCCTGTCAGCCCCGCGCGGCAGGGCCGACGGGCGGGAGCGCTGGACGGGGTCCCTCAAGGCCCCGGGAGGATGCGGGGCTGGCGAAGGTTGTCCTAAGCCAGGAGGGGAGGGGCGGCTGTGGATCCTGAGGACACAGCTCTGCTCCCTGGGGCCTGCCCTGGGCTGCCTTCACCGGCTTGGCTCACCCCATCATGGAACTGCAGGGGCTTCGGTGGAATACCCAAGACGCAAGCACGTTAAAATCCACCATCCATGAAAGCCAGGATGGGCGCCTACAGCAGCTTCCACATGCTCGACGCCCTCCAGAAATTTTGGGCTTGAAGGCCCACGTGCCACTGAAGACCAACACACCTGGGGCGCACCAGGTTGGCCAAGGACCACTGCAGGTGCCGTCCCGGAAATGCTTCCCGGACTAAGCCGAGGTGGAAATGAGGGCGGCGGGCAGGGACTGGGCCCCCATGTCGCACACGCCTCATGCGCAGCGCTCACAAAGGTGTACTCACAAAGTGCTCGCTTCGGTTTCGTAGGAATCTTTCACATCCACTTTCGTAGAAGAGCCATCTGTGAGGGAGAGGGGTTTGAGAGGAGAGCGGGTGAGGCCATGTGTTTTGGCCACCAGGGTCCGCTTCCCACCGAGGCAGGTGTGTCTAGAGGGACCCCGGGCTCAGGGCGGGGGCAAGTGAGGGGGGCAGGCGCCCGCCCAGCCTCGTCCCCCTCCCACCCAGTCAACATGGGAGGCGAGTAAGGAGAGCTGGGAGGGGCTCCCGCAGCTTTGAGGGGGCTTCACAATCAGACGCCCTTCTGGCAGCTCGCAAGTTCCACCCCAAATGAAGCCCAAGTTGATCAGCTCAGAAATAAGATGCGTAACCGGGCAGCTGAACCCCCGTCCAGTGCATTGGCGCGAGCGGGAGCCGCTGCTGACAGGCGAGCTCCACACAGGCGCGGCCGAAGCCCCCAGCGCAGAAAAAACGGCCTCATCCAAGCACTGACGCAGTCAATGTCTACCCTTCCTCAGGGCACCCCAACCTGTCCCCACAGCCCCTGCCTCGGAAAACACACAACCCGCGACCTCTGCCAGCCACTGCTTGTGGGCATCGGACCCAAACCGTGGAACAGTCTGTCCAGAGAGACACAAGGGGGCGTTAAAGGCACGTCCCTTCTGACGGGCCTTCCCGGATTAGTTTTATTTAATATACCTCCTTTCAGTCAAATTTTAATCGTCGCCAATTTTAATCTCTCATCAGCCACCCAGAGCCTGTGGGAAAGGGGGGCGTGCAAAAAGCACATGAAAGGGATGCTTGTTTGTGCACCACCAGGCGCTGCCCCCAGCCGCAGTCGGCTCCGCGATCGGCGAGGGTCGCTGCCGCTCTCTGCCGTGCGCCGGCGCCCAAGTCCGTCCCGCAGGACGGACCTGCCACCCTCCAGCACTGCTCCCCGACACCAGGTGGCCTAACGCCGCCCGCCGAGGTCCCCGATCCGGCCTGTCGCACCCTCTGCGCTTCCTCTGGGGGACAGGGCCCGGCCGCCTGGCCCTGCCGCCCAGAGCAAGTCCCAGGTCAGAGCAAATTTGAGGCAGGAGGTAACTCACCCCAGGTGAGCCCCGCTTTCTAGTGAGCAGGGGGGAGGCAAGCCGAGAGGAAGCGCCCCACCGCGGTGGCAGGCAAGGCAGAGGCGGCGCAGGCCAGATGTGAGCCTCTGCCGGCGTCTCTGCTTGATGGATCCCTGGGGGCGGTGCTGGGCGAGACCCCCGAGAGCTGCTGCGGCGCAGGGAGCCCGCGAGTGGCCGGGTGAGGGGGTCCCCCCCAGGCGGAAGGCCTCTGCGGCTCGCTTGGCGGGGTGAGGGGCACGGGCTGGGGGCTCATTCCCTGCGGCTGCTGCGAGGCCCCCGGGACACAAGAACACCCGGCAGCTCCTCCTACCGCTGTGCAGGGAGAGGTGTCGTGTCGGGGTGGAGGCACCGTCAAATATTGCTCTGTCCAGGAAGTCAATGGTAGACTCCGTGTAAACAATATGGAAGACTTGGCTGAGAAGGGAGCAGAGTTCCTCTGCCGTGACCTGGAGGAGGAGGAGGAGGAGGAGGAAAGAGTCAGAACAGGGGGTGGGTTCACCCAGGCAAAACGCTTGCCGCAGCAGCCGGCGCGCTTCCACAAGACACGGGTGGCCCCTCGGTCGAAATCACGGGACCTGAAGCACGGGCACGTTCAGGAACAAAGCCAGGCTACAGGGAGAGCCGCTCCCCTTCCAAGAAAGGGTTAAGTCCCTGGGAACGGAAAAAAAATCTGCCGCCATCTGCTTGAAAAAGGTTCCACTCCCGTCAGCACAGAAAAATAATTGCAGCTGGACAAGCGCACGCCGGAATCGGAACAAAGGACAAGGCAGAGCTGCCTGCCGGGCCCACAAATGCAGCGTCTCACTGGCTTTGGGAACGACCTGGGATGCGCCGATAAAACGCATAGTCCCTGTGTGCGTGTTCTTGAATGTCTCTTTCTGAAAAGAGTATTTACCGGCTCGCAGAGCGGCTTACAAGGATCAGCGATAAGAGAGTCCCTGCCCTCAGGCCTGCAGTTTGACAGCAAGGCCCGCTGCGTGGTCTGAAGGCACGGCAGGCATCTCCCATGCTGAAGCTAAGCGGGTCCGGGGCTGGCCTGAGCTCGGAGGGGAGACCCCCGGGGAACCGCCTGGGGCCACCTTGAGTGCCGCAAGGGGAGGAAGGGGGGATAGAAATATAATAAATACATTGAATACGGAGTAATGGGGAAAGCGGCTGGTCCTTCAGCAGCATGAGTGGGACAGGATGCCAACTGCTTTCCAGGGTCAGTCCAAGGCAGGTTTACACAGTGGCTTGGCGGCCAAAGGCCCCTGCCTGGGCTTGAGCCACTGGGATGCAGCGATCGGCCTTCTCCTGGGAGCTGTTCTGTGGGCAGGCAAGCCAAGGGCCCCCGCTTCCCTGGGGAATGGTGAGATGCCCCCATTTGCTCTGTCCTCAGAAAGGGGCTGGCAGGGATCTGAACATGCTGTGGTTTTTCACCGCATTTTGAAGCAAGCATGGCTTTCATTTTCTGACAGTCCCATGAAGCACCCAGGCCAGCTCCAGAGAAAAAAACCTGCTCAATCGCGCCAGCGTGAAAAGCGGCCTTGTTTGGGCAGCCCATGATACAGCCTGCGACAACTCGGCCGGGGGAAGCAGAGCATGGATCGCGGGGCAAAGGCCCACCAGGGCAGCCCCCCTGCCCTGCCAGGGCAGAAGGGGCCGGATCGAACGAGACAGCAGAGACGAAAGCGCCTTACTTTATTCTCTGCAGCCAGGACTACCAGGCAGCAAGCTTCGATGGGGACCACCCCGCTCTCCGAGAGCGACCCTGACGTGAGCGCCTTCGAGCTGTCGGTGCAAAGGCTCTGGCTGGGGGAGATCCCGGGGTCCTGAGCTGAGAAAACCAGAGACCGTGAGTGGAACCGGCACGCAGCCTGCAGCCCTTGCGGAATTCTGCATGACCCCCCCTCTCCGTGGAAAGTCTGCACTCGCCTCTCGTACGGCACCCATGCACAGAATGTTTCCTGCCACAGCACCCCACGTTCCGCACCCTGGCGCCCCAAGCTCTGCTCTCAGGAGGACCAGTTTGCCAACGGGATAGCAACACTCATCAGGAAGAGGTGGACCAGTGCCTTTCCTTTGCCCAGTTTGGCCACTACCTGGGTCGGCCAGTAGGGAGCCACCGTGAGCTGCGTGGAGCGCGCTTGTCACGCACCCAGGTTCCACAGAACAGCATCCATGTGGTACCGCGCGTCTCTCTGGAGCCATTGGGGCCAGAAACTTTAACAAACACAGCCCGGCTCTCGCGGTGCTCATCCTCCCTCCGGCTGCACTGGACTACGACTCCCAGCCAGAGCGGGGACGCTGCCGTCGCAGAATCAGAACTGGAAGAGCTGGGAGGGGCCCTCAGGACACGGCTGCGAACCCTCTGCTCGGCATGGGATCCAGTTCAGGGCGTGCCCCACAAGTCTCCACCTCCCACAGTGGTCACGCCACGGCCTGCGTGCTCGGACCACGGGCAGCGCTCCCTGAGGCTGAGCCAAAATCTGCCTTCCCGCAACCAAAGCCCACCCCTTCGTGTCCCCACCAAGGCCCTCCGTCGGTCTTCTCAGGGCTGAGGGCAGCCGGTCCCTTCCGTCTCTTTGCAGGCTGCTGGCCTCCGTGTAGCGATGTGCTGAGATGGCCGCACAAACCTCAAGCGAAGCCACGTGGCTTCGTTCTGCCGCAAAGCAGCCCGGGCTGGCAGGAGCACTGCAGCCGCCTGTGCCCGGGGAAAGCAACCCGCTCGGAGCCGGAAGGCGACTCCCTCCTGCCGGCCCTGCCTACCTGTTTTCAACACCACCAAGTGCAAGGAGTCGTCGCGGATGTAGGAGACGGACGCGATGTCGTGGATGGGGACCCTGAGTATGATATCTTCACCGTCCCGCCACACCAGCTTGATGTTGTAGGCCGAGAGGCTGATCACGGCATCGTGTTCCTGGGTCAGCTGGCCTGGAAGCTGGTGCGCTCGCTAGGAGAAGAAATATGGTGAATGACAACATCTTCCAGCTGGCAGGTTTTTTTCCCCCCCGGAAAAAATTAAAGCCATATATGGAAGACAAGCATTCCATTCAGGAGAGAGCACTGAGGCCACCAGATCTGCGGATGACACTAAAATAAAAGAGAGGCAGTGTGGCGTAGTGGTTAGAGCCTGGGACTGGGACTCAGACGACCTGGGTTCGAGTCCCCGCTCGGCCACGGAGTCAACTGGGTGACTCTGGGCCAGCCACAGATTCTCAGCCCAGCCTACCTCACAGGGTTGTTGTGGTGGGGATAAGATGGAGGAGGAGAAGGATGTAAGCTGCCTTGAGCCCTTGGTAGGAAAAAGGCAGGATAGCAATCGGAAAATAAATAAATAAATAAATAAAATATTCAGGGTGTTCAGAGCAGAAAAGGGTAACAGAGTGCTCTAAGGCATTTTCTGAAATGAAATGGCACCAATATGGCGACTATGGAAGGACGTACAGGCAGCATGAGAACATGGGGCAATGAGTCCCACGGCCACGGATGCACGGATGCGCTCTGGACTGACCGGGCCCGGAAAGGAGACCCTGGGGCCGGGGCAAAGGGCTTGTCGATGCGGCAAAGTCCACCCCAGAAAAGGGATCGGAAACGAAACGACCCACGTCGTCCTCCCCTTACACATGGAACACCGTGGACACTGCAAACAAGCCTGCCAGAGGGCGCGGAAAAGGCCAGCAAAACGTCCAAGGCGTTGGAGCAACTCCCGGTCAAGAAAAGCGACACCCTCTGGGAAGTTTTAGTTTGGAAAAAAGGCAAGCTGGAGAGCAGGGACACACCGTGGGTAAAGCCAAGCATGGCGAATTTCCTCCCTGACAACACTGGAACCCAGAGTCATCCCGTCAAGCTAAGTGGGGGAGATTCAGAAAGTATTTTTGCACACACAGAGAGTTTGGCTGTGGAACTTGCTCGCAAGAGAGGCGGCTTTAAGGGGGGATTGGAAAAATCCACGGAGAGTGAGGCCATCGGCGGTTGCCATCCTGGATGCCAAGCGCTTTTGCGGGGCCAGAGGCAGCGTGCCTGTGAATAGGGGCAGGAGGGTGCTGCCGGATCAGTGGGACCTTTGGCCCAATCCAGACCAGTCCGCATGCTGGGGGGCTCCCAGTCCTACTGGCAGGAGGCCCTGGCACAAGCAGAGCAGGTGGCAGGTGCCTAAACATTCTGCTGACAAGCTCTCATCTTTGGACTTGGCAGACAGCTCATTTCGGGGCTTTTTTCAATGTACACTGGTCCCCACAGCTTGGGAAGCGTCCAGCCTGCGGCTTTTGAGCCCCCTCGCTGCGCACCGCCGCTCACGGTTCCTCCTCACAGCAGGCCCTGGCGCAGGACAACACACCCTGCCTGGGAGCAGAGGAGCGAGCCTGAACGCGAGGCGGCTGGGCACCCACCTTTGCATTGTCTATCAGATGCAGTATCTCGGTTCGGCTGGAGGGGTTCAGGTACCCTGGGACAGAGCTTAATTGGCCTAAGTACTGGAAGGCAAAACAGACGGTCAGAGCGGGACACGCGGACGCACGCGCACATGCCGACGGCCTCTCGGTCCCTGCCGCCTCCCAGGAAACGTGCAGCACGACTCCCAAGCACGGGCCCCACAAGCCTGTGCTCGTCAGGCAGCTCCCGGGATGCATTTTGACCCTCCAGATCCGGCTCTGAAAGGGGAGGTCCCACTTTCGGTGGGGCAGGAGGAGCCACATCCCCAGGAAGCATTAGTTAAAGCACTCCATCTGGACGCAGCATGGCCCCGGGGCCCAACCCTGCCCTCTTGGGGTCGCAATCTGGCCATGGCTGAAAACCCCGGAGGGGGGCTGAAGCGGCGTGGGCCCTGGGGTGGCAGCTGGGGTGCAGACCTCAGGCCTGCCAGGCGATGCCAGGCGGCTGCTGCGGGTCCCCAGTTCGTCCTGGCGCGCCTCCTCTCCCAGCCACCAAGTACGTGGGGGTTCCTCGGCCGACAGAGTCCCCGCTCAGCCATGCAGCTCACGGGGCAACTCTGGGCCAGTCGGTCACTCGCAGCCACGCTCGGTGTGCAGAGCGGCCCCAGACCTGCGGAAATGCCGCCCAGGGGTCTCGGCCCGAACAGCAGAAGGCCGAGGCCGAGGCCCGGGCGGGCGTTACCTTCACTTCCTTCTCAATGTAATCGTTCAAGAGGACGTCTGGTTCCACACGGTCCGGCAGGGAGAGCGGCACAGTGTGCAGCGGCCGCCTTTCCGTCACCTTCTCCTGGGCCTTCTTGTCCCGGCCCTTTTCACCCTTCAGGAAGACGCGCTTGAAAGGGGACACTATTCCAGGCTGCCGGCAGAAGACGGGGCGGGGGGAGGCGGAGTCAGGAGGAGGTGGGGTGCAGCTGGACTGCAGGCCGTGCGCCCTGATTTATGCGCCCGCACGGCTCCTCCGTTCGCACGGAAGGAGAAGGCTGTCCAAGACGAACCCATGAGGCCGTGTGTTCTCTCCAAGCGCCACGTTCCCAGCGACCGCAAAGTCAAGGCCCGTTACGGTAGCTGCTCTTGCTTCGTCCTCGTCTGGGAGAGCTCCTTACTCCCCGTCCCTGTAAGGTCTCCCGAACGCACGGCTAGCTCTTGCCCGACTCGGACCAGCGCTAACTGGAAGGAGCGCTGCTGACAGGCGACCTCCCTCAGCCCGAGCCCAGAACCAAAGTGGGCCCAAGGAAAGCTGCTGCCTGCGCCCAGCAGACCGCACTGCAGGGGTGCACCAGGGCTCCTTGGCACAGCGGAGAACGTGGGATGCTGTGGCACATGGGCAGCCAGTGGCTTTGCTGGCATTCCAGGAAAGAGCGTGTGTGGTTGGGCCAGCCCGGTTCCAAAATAAGAACAAGTAAAGCTTTCGAATTACAGCACTTTTCATCCCTAACCCCAACACAAACGTCACGCTAGAGTCTTTCCTGGGGATCGGCTCGTGCTCGGCTCCTTTGCAGAGGACGCCTAAGCATGAGAGGAACAGGAGGACCCAGCACACATAAACGGCCACTTCCAAGCCCCCACCGGAAGCATTTTATTTCTAGTTATTTAAAGTACGTCTAATTCCACTCCTCGGGCGAAGGAGCCTCAGGAGTGGCTTCGGCATGAACACCAAGGCAGGACATTCCTGCCCACAGACCTAAAATCTGAAACGACCCAGCACAAGCGGGAAAAGGAGTGGGTGGGGAAGGGGCTTCTCTCATGTTTTGATGGTTTAGCGGCAGAAGCCAAATCTTTTCAGAAGAACCCATTCCACAGAACTGATACGAGGAGGTCCTAGAAGCACAGGATAGCGGGGTTGGGTGGCCCAGAGGCACCGGCCCCCTGCTCAGGGCAGGGCTCCCACTTAAACCGTCCCCCTCAGAGGGCTGTCCAGCTGCAGCCATGGCAGGGAGCGGGGAGACGAACCTGGGCAGCCACTCCGTCCCCGGACACCCACCAGAGACTGAGCGGGGAGGGGGGCACGCTGGACCCTGGCTCCCACCACTCCCAACGGGCACAGTCACGGGTCATGCTGGCCAAGAATGATGGACACTGGAGACCAATGTGACTGGAGGGCACCCGGTTGGGGAAAGCAGAAGTATCAGACCCCCAGGGCCAGGCTCTGTCCAGGTATGGCCACGGCTGGCATCTGAGCCGAAGCCGGTAAGCAGAGGCGGCTCCACGAGCTTGTGAGCTCATTCCTTCAGGAGAAGCACAGCCCCTCCAGCGCAGAGCAGACCCACCCTCGGGGCCGACGGATCGTTCCGCGGGGCTTCTCCCCGGCCTGGGCTGGTGCTGGCCGCGTTCACTGGCCCTGCTCTGGTTGCTCCCCAGGCCCAGCTCTGCCCTATCAGCTGCGGGACGGTGCCCCAAGGACGCGGCAGAAAAAACGGCGGGCTTGGGAACCGTCACGCTGTACCGCTTGGCCAGACAAAGCCTGCTGGGACTCCGGCTGCTTTCTTTAACCGCGGAACAGAGCGGGCTCGGCTGCGGGTCCGTCCCCAAAGCCACCCCCCCGCCCCACAGAGCAAACGGCGCTCTGAAGGGATCGCCGGTTTCAGCAACGAGAAATGTCCCACAGGCTGTCCCCCTGCCCTCCTGCAGAAACAAAGGACACGGGGCTGCCGGGAGCCGCCCCCGCCCCACCGAAGCCGCTGCCCTCGGCCTGTGCGAGACGGCAAGGGGGCTGCAGCTTTCTGGCTGCTGTGCGCAAGGCACTCTGCAGCAGGGAGTGGCGCTTCTCCGCTTGCCCCCGCCATCAAGCTGCCGCAGTTATAAAATACGAACGAAACAGCCGGGCTGGGAGGGGAAGGAGCAGAAGCAGCTCGGCGCACATGCCGGAGCACCCCGAGCAAAGCAAAGCTCCGGAAGGCGCACCAGGGCAGAACGGGCAAGCACCTCCCAGCCGGGCGCTGCGGCCAGAAGGCCTCGGAGGCGGCCCAAGGAGCTCCCGGACATGCCATGCGGTGGCAGCCCCTTCACACGCTCTCCGGCATGCCCTAAGGCTTGCGGGGAGGGACTGCCGGGGTTCCTCCCCCCCCCCGAGAGGTCAGGCGTTCCAGTCAGTCTGGCCATGCGCGGTTCTTATGCACAGGAAGCAACGACGAGGGGCTGGACATTGACCTGCGATTGATTGCAGGAGGCTCAGAGCTCTTCCTGCATTTAAGCAATCGCACGGTCATAAAACATTCGCTTTCCCCGACCCATGCATGTGGGTCTTCGAACGCAACGCTTCTCCCCGCCTTGGTTAGCTCTTCTCTTCAGGCTCTCGAGACCATAAATAGTCAGGTCAGGAAGCTGCAAGCTACAGCGGCAGGCTGAAGTTTCGTTCTTGCTAAGAGGAGGCCGATGAGACAAAACACCGCCCACCCCGCATGGAACAAAGCGGAGCAGGCGCAACCCTCCGGCCAGGGGGTCCAAGAAGGCTGCTAGCAGTCCCCAGAAGCCACGCGAGGGCTATGGCAGGCTTGCTTCCGCCCCGAACCAGGAAGCGGCAAAAGTCTGAATTATAGCCAAGGTGACACATGGGTGCCCTTCCCTGAAGTAATGGAGAGTGCAGCCCCACACACTGCCAGTGGAACCCCCACCCATTTGGGCTACTGGAGACCGAGCTGCAGCGTGGGCAGTGCCAGGTGGGCTGGGACCGGGGGGAGCCGCGGCTTGCCCCCCCCCCCCGGAAAGCACCGGGGCGGAAGGCTGCTTTGCTGTCAGGCGATACAGAGAAAGCAGGCGAGGGGCGTGAGGAGCAAGGGAGGATCACAGCGGCTGGGAAGACCACGCCACACACGTCTTGGCTGCCGGGGGCCCCTGAAGGAGACTTTTGAATCTTCAGGTAGGCCTCACAACCCCACAAAGAGACAGCAACTCTCCACAAGGACACTGGCTTGCGCCAGAAGACCGTGTGGTGCATCGTGGCAGCACCCTGGCCCTGAATTACATGTTCGACCAGGCCATTCCTAGGTCCTGACCCGCAAAATAGCCAAGAGACACGCACCAGCCCCCCAGCTCCTCAGGGCTTTAGCAACTTGGACGAGAGGCGGTTTGAGGGACTCCGCAGAAGGCGCAAAAGAGCCTGACAGAAGGACGGAGCAAACACAGGACCGGGAGATGGCGGACAGGCGAGCTTGTGCAGAAACCAAGAAACACGAGGAGAGGAGAGGCGTTCTGGAACGAGGAAGAGGGCCCCATCGTTCATCTAAGACCGGGGCACGGGATCTCATTCAGCCCCCAGGGCTGTGCTCCATTTCGGAGACGTTCTTGGGAACCACAGATCAGTGAGGGGCAGGCCAAAGGCGATGAGGCCAAAACATGAACACATCTGCCCACCGTAACGTGGAACCCACCCGATCAGCAACCAGGCCCTAACGGAGACATTTCTGCTTCGCAGAGGGTGGGAAGATGCTGTACAAACACCGGGAAACCACCAGCCTGTCAGCAGCCGGGAGAAAAGGAGATGGCCCAGGAGAAGACGGCCCGCTCAACGGAAGCCCCCAGAGGGCGAGGCCGGGCCTCCAGGCCCCATGCTCTGTGCCCGGGTAACACCAAAGTCTCAAACGCTTACCTCATTCTCCATTAAGCATCCGACTAACGGGAGGAGGGGGCTGAGAGGGCCAGCAGCAGCCTGACGGGGCCCCGACGGCCTGCCCTACCATGCGCCACGGCGCTCCACAAGGCACTAGCCCGTGGCTGACACTTTCAAAGGGCGCGGCGCAACCGGACGGTTTTGCTTTTAAGTGAGAATGTGAACAGGACATCGAGAGACCGCAGCTTCCTTCTGCACAATCTGCTGGTAGTCGAGAAAACAGCACGAGACGCACACAGCTGCGGAGCAGAAAACAGAAAGTCCCCAGAGAGGCTCACCTCCTGCGAGGCCCTCGGGCCGACCTCCGAGGATGCCTGAGCGACGGTGTCTCTCGGGGCTGCCAGTGCTTCTCACCGAGGGGCACGGCGGCGGCGAGAGGAGAGGAGAGGGGAGCTCTCCGAGGGGCGCGCACCGGATGCCACTGAATGACCCCCAGTGACGGCGAAATCAGGAAGCCAGTTTTAATGTGGCTCCAGAAGTAAGGAAAGTCGTCTGAGGCTGTCCTTGCCCAGGAATTATGCAATGCTGTTCGGAGTGCCAGCATTCCTGCAGAAGACGTCCACTGCCCGTCCTCCCTCCCTCCCTCCCTCCCCGAGTTCTCTCCTGTGAGCACGGAGATCCTCCCAACCAATTTAAAAACAAGGCCTGCGATACAGACCAAGTTCCACACGCCAATTCTTCTGATTTGACCGGTGGGGGCGGGAAGCCAAGCTGCCCAGGCGGTTCACAACTTGGCCCTGGCAGAGAGGGGACCGGCGAGAGCGCGTTCGAGCACACTTCTCGGGAAAGCTGCCGCCACGGAGCCCTGTGCCCAAGCGGTTTAAAAATGCCGCCAGAGTCAAACAACTAAGCTCTGCCTTGTGGGTACTTGCAGGGTTTGCACTGGACCTGCAGGTGCTTCCAGGATCAGGGCAGGGCCAATCCTGCAGCCCAGTCAGGGGCCCCAGGAGGCTCCACAGTCCTGCCCACAGGCCTCCACGGGGGCTGCTTTATGCCCGACTCGGCCTCTGCCTCCGGTTATGTTCAGGCTCCCTCCCATTCCCGACACTGCTCTCCCCGCTGGCCCTTCCACACCACTGCTGAGGCCTGAGCCCCCCACCCTCCCATCCCTGACTTTGCGGTCCCCTCCAGTGCTGACACACTTTTGCCAGGATCTGACCCTTGCCTGTGCCCAACGCTGCCTTTGCCTCTGGCCTGCAACACCGTGCCAAGGGTCGGACCCTCGCCGGAGCAACCCCCGCCCTCCTTCC